AAAGATATACTTATTATTGATTCTAGATTTTATTTAATTAATTAGTGTAATATTACTCGAAATATATATAAATACAAAACAAAATACTTTAATTTTGCTAATTGTTATAAATAAAAGGATAAAGTTAATTAATCTCTATAGTCTATTCCATGTTTATTTAACAATTCCTTAAATATAGGAACCACGTTTGACCCACGTTTTTCTAAGGAAGCAACAACAATAATATGCATGACCCAAGTTTACTATTTAACGTTAAACAAAGAATACAGTCAGCGTTTTTTATTGAATTCGTGTCGACACGACAAATATATTTGAGTAGAGTTGTATTGTTTTAAAAAGATTTGAATATATATTTTATTTTTCTTTCTTCCACGACCCTTTTTTTTTGTTTTTGTCTCATCATATATGCCATAATTGATTTTTTTTTCCTGATTCTTCGACCATCTTTATTAGTGGAATTTTAAGTTAAGATTTTTAAAATAATTTATCTTATATAAAATATTTTTTTCTACAAAATTTTAGCTTAAAATTTACCATTAAAGTGCCCTTATGTTGCAGCTGCTGATTTGAGGAAGTTACAATGTCAGCATAGCCGTTTTTTGAAAAATATATGCCTATTTGGATCAACTTGCCTAGTTGGATGAGCGTACTAAGATAGAAAACATAGATTCTGCTAAGACTATTTCGAAGAAAGCAAAGTGGAGTTGCTTTCCATGGGCAAACACCCACTTTAGAGACGCTGATTTCGTAAAAAAGGTGGAAATTGTTTTTGATCTATGATGTGTTTATGCAAATTTATCATGTATAGTATACATTTAGTTAATATGAGTTTATAATTTCTTAGAAGAGTATATATGAATGTTGTTAGAATATATGAATGGCTTTAGTATAGAGTTTGTTTTACTAACTTATATGAGTTATATATTCAAAATGTCGACAACTCTAAGTTATTTAAATAACCAAGTTAATTAGATTCTTAGTTGTAATGTAGTCGGCCAAACTTGGCAGTCTAGTCAAAGTCTTTTTTTGGCTTGAGAAAAAATCCGGATATTTACCCGAAAATTTAGATATTTATATGAAAATCCAAATATTTTTTCAAAAATTTCCAGATGTACACGTAATATTTTGAGTATTTTTTCAAAACCCGAAAGGATCAAACCAAACCCGAATCAAAATTTTAAATTTATCCTATTAAACCATAAATTTTTCTACCTAAGAAACTCGAACCCAAAAAGTTTAGAGCTAGTCTTTCCTCTTGCTGAGGAATCGTCTGCTGTTCTTCTCCCTTGTCGGACCTGCTCTCTCCCTCTCTACTTCAAACTTACTTTTTTTGTAATGTCTTATCTGTCTATTCCTTTAATTTGCTACTTTTGATTCGTAATTTGTAGATTAGGCTGTAACAGTTTCTTTTGGAACAAAAATATTAGCATTAAAACCAAAAATAAAAAACAAACTTGGCAGTCTAGTCAAAGTCTTTGTGTATTTTTCTTGAACTGTAATATATCAAATGAAGCTTACTCTACTAGAGTTTGGCTTATCTCACGAGTCACGTGTTTGCGTACTCTTCCTAGGTTTCATAGAAAATTCTACATGTATTTGTCCTTTTTTAATCGCAAATTGGTAAATATCTTCTTAACCTTTTTAATATGTAAATTTAGCAATGCAGCTAATTACATAGGCAACATTGTGTATGCAATACGAATCTCAGTTTAAAGACCAAATATTTTCATAAACAATAAAAATACAAGAAAAAGAGATATTGTTATATATGATATAATACAAAAAAAAACAAAAAAAAATCTCTTAACCATACATAAAATTAGGCTACTTATGATCAAAAAATTTAGTGATAAGATGTAATTAGGAAATCCGTAGCAAAAGAAGACACCAATATGAAAAGGCGATACACATCGGCACGAACCCTTCAATTCAATATGCACATATCTCTAATATGATGTTCTTTCTTTTTCCTTAAGTACTATAGATACGTAATCATTTGAATTCTTGGTTTAATTTCATATTTATGTATAGAAATATGTATAGTTTTCAACTAACCAGCAAGGAAAAGTATACATATTTCCTTCATAGACAGCTCTTTGGAACGTATGCATAGAATCAAATAAATCCAACCATAACCTTTGCTAGATTAATTTGATAAGCGCTTTGATCAATTGGTTCAACAACAGAAACTAATTAAGCCTTAATTACAATTATTAGAGAACATGAAAAGGGGGGGCAATCTTACCATGCATGTCGTTCATTAGGATAATATAATTGTAGTTTTGAGATTAATACTCATGATAACTTGGATGATTCAATTTTCAAAGCACAGTTTGAAATGGTCTATTATTTGAGGTCGGGGTTCTATTATTTGAGGTTTGCGACATGAATATACAACATTTGTAACATCAATGCATGGAAGTGATACCCAAGAATCTTTGTACGTACTATTCTTGCAAATTGCATTATAAGTAGAAAAGTCTACAAATGGAAGCTCACAATTTTTTCCAACCAAAGACAAGGATTGGTGGGGGCAAAGAAGCAATTATAGAGAGAAAATATAATATCTTCTACGTAAAAAATAACGGTTTAATAAGTGATATACTAATATGGAAAATTTGGACATGTTGTTATCCAATAAACAAAAAGACATATTTTTCTAGTCAAACTAAAAAACTAGCAAGGACGAAGAAATAGGAAAAGTATTTTACTCTCAGTATAATATAAATATTTTCAGGGTTACATTATTAATTTTTATAGAATTTTTTTTTGTAATGTTAAATAGAAAATTAAAGTAGTTATAGGGATTGGTGGGTGTATTCTTTTCTACATTAAAGTATTTTTTTTGTCTGGTCTCGTGACCTCTTTATATCTCATGCAGGTTCGACCATGTTCACGATTAAGACTGCATCCTCATCAAGTCATCATCAATTCATCATCATCAAGTCATCCTCACTAGTATCTTCTTTTTGTCACCCAAGCATTTCAGCATTCATAAAAGCCCAATCTCCCAGATCTAGGCTTATGGTCCAATTAAATCAAAAGGATCAACTTGGAACCATGCCTAGTTTTCGAAAGAGCAACCTCAAGAGACTTACGGAATTAACATTCGCATCCATTATAAAACTTATCATTTTGGGCTTTACAAATAGAGATACCCAACTAGTCACAAAACAAAACAAAAAAATCGTATACTTGAAAAGAGACATATTCTTGTCTATTCTTGCACTTGTAATCTTCTCAAACTGTTACTTCATTTCATTCTCCACGATCTTAACAACCTAATCACTATGGCCTCGATTGTTAACCATGATTTAGGAAAAAAATAAGAAACAATGTGACATTCCTTTTCATTCCTCAATTTTTTTACCATTTACAATAAATCATTTTTCCACATCATTGCTCTACATTCCTCACAAAATGAGGAAAAATAGAACAAAAATGTTCCTCCACAAAATTGATGAGGAACAAATGAAACAAAAAAAAAACAAATATTAAAAGGGGAAATTTCAAAAATACCCATTTTCTAATACCACTTTTTAAAAATACACCTCTTTTTAGTTTTATCAAAAAGTTACTATAAAATTTGAAATTTATCAAAAACATATGTGTAAACTTATATTTATAGACACAAATTATCTTTATATGTGTGTAAATTTATATATATATTTCATAAATACTGTATAAATACCTTTTAAAAACCTTTTAAAAACCATTTAAAAACCTTATAAAAACTGTGTAAACCTTTTAAAAACCTTATAAAAACATTATAAATGCCGTTTAGTACCTTTTAAAACCTTATAAATATTTGGATTTAGTCTCCCAGTAGTAATGATGACCTCGATGTACCTTATTAACTATATAAAAGTTTATAATTTTTCATATTTGAAAAGGGGTATTTTTGAAAATGGATAGAAAGAGGGGTATTTTTAAAAAGGGGTACACCAAAAGGGGTATTTCTCAAAAATTCTCATATTAAAATTCGTTTTTTATTTTAAAATAAAAAATTATTTATTAATAATATTTTAATCTCATAATATAATATTTTTCATATTTTTATCATGTATTGACATTAAAAAATATTTTTGATATGAATTTCATGTTAAAAAATCTTACTATACATTATTTAAAATTTGTATGGATAGTAAAACATATTTAAGAGATGTTTATATCATAAATAACAAATAAAAAATTACTATAATCTATAATAGGTTAATATAAATTATTAATTTTTAACATTAAATATTTAAATTCATTCAAAAATATATTTTAAAATTAGTGTCAAATTCATTATATATAAATTATATCTAGTATTATTATTAAAAGATGATTTATTTAATCAAATATATTATAAAAGATAGTGTTATTGTTTGGTTACCATTTATTATTTTGTTTTTCTCTGCATGTTTTACTTTCATTTCTCAAAAGTTGTTTATTACGTTCCGTATTATTTTTTTTGTTTTTTTTCATTTTGTTTCTCTAATGGTTAGCAGTAGAAGCCTATATCTCTGTCAACTTTATGTGTAATGTGTGTTCTTTTTTTATATTATGATTAGGTTATAATAATATATAAATATTAGGTGTTACTCCTATAGTCCTATACGTAGGTTAACTTTTATCTAATAAAAACTAACAGGTTATCAGAATATATTATATTTATATACCTTAATACAAATATTCATTAGTTTTAAAATTAATACTTACTGAAAAAGTTATATAGTTAAAATAATATTATTACTTAAACTCAACATAAAAAAGCATAGGTTTAGAGTTTATGTTTTATTGCATATATTATTTTATTTTAATTAAATATTTGATATGAAAAACGAATCTATCATAATGATGTAGAAATGGAAAAACAAAATTATTCTCGAGTGTCTATCCATAATAGCAATATATGTATTTCCAAGTTTCATATCAGTAATTTTAAATTTAGGATGTTGTATATGTATTTCCAAGTTTCCTTAATAATATATTTTATTAATTATATCTTTTTAGTAACTAAGCGTATGCTTAGTTATATTCCAAAATGAAGGGTTGTATAATACTTACAACTCTTCTTATTAGTGTTACATAAAGAGGTAAAAGAGAAAGCATTTTACATAACTGAAGTTGGAAACGCAATGAGAGGGAACTTGCGGCAAACATCGATACCAATGGCTTCAGCTAGATCAGAATCATCCCCATTTGGACCAGCCTCAACCTTCCAGTCAAATCGGCCTACAAGGTTGGCCACTGTCACCTCTGCCAAACCCAAAGCAAGTCCTATCCCAGGACATATCCTTCTTCCTGATCCGAAAGGAATATAGTTCAAATCTTTTCCATGATAATCCAACGCTGACTCTAAGTGTCTCTCTGGTTTAAACTCTTCTGCATCCGGTCCCCATACGGCGGTGTCTCTTTGAATAGCCCAAGCATTGATGATCACCTGGACGCCAAACATTTTTTTATTTTCAGTTTATAACCTATGACTTGAGACATATATGTGAACTTATGTGTGACCAAGTTGATTACTAGGTTAAGAAAATATATGATATTTCTTAACTTATATAAGTATTTACTTTAATATAAATTAACTAGTATTGTACCTCTGTCCCTGCGGCTATGTTATATCCCTTCACTTTGACATCTTCACTTAAGAGTCTAGGAAGTATCAGTGGAAGAGAAGGATGCAACCTGAGGGCCTCTTTAATCACAGCTTTCAAGTATCTCATATTCTCAACTTCTTTTTCTTTTATGTATGAAGTATTTGGCATCATGGTCGATCGAATCTCGTCTTGGAGTTTCTTCAAACACTCTGGCTTTCTAATCAGCTCTGTCATTGTCCATTCTAGTAGAGTTGAAGTTGTTGACGTCCCTCCTATGAACATATCCTGATATAAATATAATGAAAAGTTACTTGTCCATTACTCAAACAAAGTTTTGCATATATATGTGATAATAGTTATTAATGAAATCCTTACCAAGATCATAAATTTTATGTCGTTTCTTTCAACTTGGAATCCATTATTTTTATCTTTCTCGATCGATAACAATATATCGACGAAATCGGCTTTCTGGTTACCCGCCTCTAAATGTTCTTGCACCACTTTGTCCATAAGGTCGCTAAAACCTTGACTCACTTCCTTTATTTTACCATTGAAACCACGAACCCTATCTAGCCATGCCAACAAGGGCACATATTCCCCGATTGGGAACTCGCCTAAAAGCTCCATGATCTGCCTCACTCGCTTCTTGAGATCTCTTGCGGTTTCGTCCTCACTATGTTTTCTTCCCAAGGCAACTCTACTCGTGACATCGCTTGGTAGAGTAATAAAGAGTTCGCTCAGGTTTTCTGATGAAGAAGTACTACTTGCTTTCTCTAGCTTCCTTATCATTGCGTTTACCTCCTCTTCTCTTACCGTCTCAAAAGAGCTAACCATTTTGTTGGTGAGCAGATTCAGAATGCATACACTCTTCATTCAAAACAAGATTTAAAACCATCATTAGTTGGTTAAATAACATACATGGTATTATATATTTTGTTCATGCAAGTGTAGACCACAAAAATGTAAAGATAGTATATAAAGTAAAATAAGTTAAAGAGGAATAATGTAAAAGAGCTATATAGTAGTGAAAATACCTTCATTTGTCTCCAATATTCTCCATAGGGAGCAAACACCACATCACGCCCACCATCCATAAGCCCACGAACGGCTTTTGATCTCGGACGGTTAGCAAACTTATGGTCGTGTGTTTTCAGCACCTCCTGAGCTGCTTCACCGGAGGAGACTACTAGTATGGGGACACGGCCAAAATGAAGGAGCATGAGTGGTCCGTACTGGAGGCTGAGGGATCGAAGGGAACGGTGAGGGTGGAGGCTGAGCTGGTGGAGGTTACCAATCAACGGAAGCCGCCATGGAGATGGTGGTCGGTTCACTTTGATGGCGGTTCGTTTGAGGAACTTTCTAAGCAATACAAGTGTTAAGATTGTCGTTAAGCACAGAGAAAACATCAACATCTTTTCCATTTCTTGAATATTGCTCATGTATGAGGAAAGTGATTTGATTGATGAATTGTAACTCCTCTTCTCCTTGTTATTTATAGGCTCTTTTTGGAACTCATCAGCATGGATTAATCATTTTTTTATACATATATAATAGTGTAGTATTTTTAAATTCTAGTGCATGTTCGTTTACGTTGAATAGTTATTTTGGAAATGATATATTGTCTACCACTAGTAGTCTTTCTTAAAATATAGTATTTGCAATTGTTGGTAATCGTCTCTGTTATATGTTAATATTTTATAAAGAAAAAGACCTCATTTAATCACTAATAAAAGTAATTTTTTTTTATATCTTAAGAAACTTCTGATTTAAGCGTGGTTGACATGAAAAAAGATTGTTTAATTAGCTGCATATATATGATAATGTACAGTAATATTGCATTTTACATTAAAAAAATATATATATATACTGAAGTTAAATTTAGAATTAGTTAGCTAGTTTTATATATCTATAAATGTTTTAAGATCACTTTGTAGGTTAATCATGTTTCGTTATTTTAGTTAAAGTCGATGCAATTAACAATAGATAATATTTTGTACTTGTATATAGTAGAATGATCACTTGCTAAGTAAAATGTTTTAAAAAAATATTAAAATAACAGAATTAGTTTTCAAAACGACAAAATTTGAACAAGTGTTATACCATAATTCTCTATGTATTTCGAAACCTAACTCAGATTTACAGAGTTAACATGTTTTAGAAAAATTGAAAACTACAAAAATATCATAAATGAATCACACATAAACCGTTTTAGAACTGTAGATAGAGAGAAAGAACACTTACCACTATACTACATCTACTTTGTTGACGTATTTAATAATTTTCTTTTCGAAAGAGGAATTTTCTCGAATGAGGGCACATCACACATATATGATCTATCACAGAAGTTGTAAGCAAAGTTTGGTTTTCCTACTTGTAAACTTTTTATTCTCTTCACTGAAAAGTTATAACTTTAGTTTGATTTGATAATCAGAGATTACCACAGTATTATTTGTAAATACAGTGTTAATTAAGTTATTCAACAAATCCTGCAAAAAAAGTGTATCTTTATATATCTTAATTAAGATCGCCGTTATTCATCAGGCATTTGAACTTTGAAGTAGTAACACGAAAAAACTGCGAATGGTCAAACAAATAATATTTTTTTTGGTTTCCGGTCAATTTATGATTTACCTTTTCAAACAATATGATATAAAAAGGATACCGCCGTGAACGTCTAAAACCCGCTTGAACTAATTTGTTAAGCCATAATTAAATTGCATCACGTCACATTACACTTATATAAAAATTAAAAACTAAATAAATAAAACATATTTAAAAAACCATCATTAGCATAACATTTTAATTAATATAGTTAAAGCTAGGTTAACACATAATTTCATTTGAAAAAAGTAATCTATTTTTTCTTTATTAACTCATACTAACATATAATTTTATATATATATTTGTAATATGCAAACCCTAATCTTTCTTTGTGATTACAAATCCAAACTAATATATAATATCGTTTAAGTCTAAAATCTATATTTTACTCTTACTTTACGAACTTAAACATACATATAACCTCATTTAATCATAAAATTTACAGTTAATTTTTAAAAGAAATTTAAACCAACATATGATTCTTTTATTATAAAATCTAAAATTTAATGTCCTATTCTCCTTATAAAACCAAATGAGTAACATATCGTTAGGTTTGATAAATAAGATTAGAGTTTAGATTTTATAACCATGTATATGCAGATAAAATTTACAAATTTAAATCTTTTTAGTTTCCGAAATCAATTAAATAAAATTTATACTATTTTAAACGTGTAATACTGCACCAAAATTTTAATATATTACTTAATATAAATTAAATGTTTGAATGTTTGAAACATGGATTAATTTATTATATAAAAGCTATTATTTATAGGCAAATAATTCGAGGATAAAAAATAATGTTTTTGTTAATCGGATAATATGTTTATTGGATAATATTTTTGTTGGATAAATATTCATAGTTTCTAGCTCCTACATAAATTAGGTGCGTACCGACGTGTGTTGTCCTCGTGTAGATCAAGAAGCACATCAGTACGAATTACGATGGTAGGAGAAATGATGGTGTTAACCTATTTACCTATCATACATCATCTCCTGATCTTTGATTTTTCTTCCACGAATTTTCTCTGTATATATATATATATATGTGTGTAACCAATTTATGTCAATGTCATTATTGTTATTATTTTTTATTCTCCATGTTAATCTTCTCGTTTTTATTTTCCATGTTTGTTTCTCATATGGCTGCTGATCCAATGAACTAATCTTCTCAAATCGTTGCACTTACATTTTAAAAATCATTGGCCCATATTGCAGCAAATACCTTTCCAACACTTTTGATGATTTCTTTTTAAATCAAAGATTATCAAGAATATAATTCATTGTTAAATTCTATGTATTTACAGGAAGAAAATTGTATAAACTGCTGTTTATAATTAAAGCCTCTTAACAAAAGTGGTATTCGAATCAGCAACTTGTTTTAAATACTTTATTTATTAAACTATTACTCCCTTATGTTTTCTAAGAAAATATGATTAAGTATTTATTTTGGTACTACATATTATAGTTTACACGATGGTTATTATTTTCCTATTAACATAACCAAAATAATTGATCCATGCATAATGTGTTTGTGCGAAAGTCATCCTTGATATATAATATTTGCCTAACAACGTAAATGATTAAATGAATGTATAAATTTAAAAGAGTATACTAAAAGTTTATAGAATATATATACGATGACTTTATCAACAATATATGTATTGTACGTATACTTTGATAGGAAGATTGACTAACCCCATACAACGACTAGGTTATATTAACTGAATAATAAAAATGGCGACTACTCAAACTCAAGTGAAGTAACTTAGCCGATATAAATTTGTTGAATGAGTCAGTCAAACTTGTATAAACCAATGCCCTCATTTATTTTCCATACTATATATTATGTGTTGATTTATCTTTCGATTTATTCGGTTGTATGACACATTCAAACTTCAAAGTGGATCTTTTTTCTCTTTAATCAATTAAAACAAAACTTTCAATGTCAACGTCAACAGTATGGATTATATATCTTCACAACGTCACATCTTTTTTTTTTTTTTTGGGCAAAGCGACGTCACATTCTTAAGTAATGTACGTGAAAATATAAAACTAATTAAACTAACATATTTTTAAGTAATGTGAAAATTAATATAGTGTCTTGTTTACATAATTTAGTTTTAGATTTATATTTTCACATTACTTAAGAATGTTCTGTATAGCTAGTTCAAAAATATCAGTGTAGGAAATAAGCAACATAATTTATGTAAACAAGACACTATAATGCCTGAATAATAATTGTTTTTTTATTTTATTTTAACTCCCTTTGTTTGTTTGTTTTTCGTTTGGAGATGTGAGTCCATATTTGTAAAAATGACACAATTTTTAGTCAGATTTTTTTTTTTTGTTGTTGTTGACATAATTGATTATTGATGAAGTAGAGAGGTTTTAATATGCAAGATTTCTCTTAGTTCTTACTACTCTGTTTAGTGTTAACACTAGCTAAGTAGCTAGTGTTGATTGTTGTAATATATATATATATATATATATATGCCTTTGATCCAATTTCATAAAAATATGACGCGTAATCATTTACAACATTCATATAAAAATCCTTGACAACTATATTTTCGAGAAAACAAAAAACAATAATTATATCTTATCAAAATGTCAAACTTTCTCCATTTATTTCATCTGCTGAAAGAAGAATCTATTTTTAATACAGTAAAAAAGTATATGGATAATGAATCTATAGCCTTAAGCTCTCATTGAATTCATCTACTTAGAGAGTGAAAACGTGGGAATAATAATATAATTCTTTGATCTTTTCACCTTGGCCAAAAGATATGGCGGTTTGACTTTAGCTTTCGCATTTACATTGAAGCCTATGGTCGCACTTCCCCAATTTATATTATGTTTTTATTGTTTTATACCGCTCATGCCTTTAGATCTCCTAGGTCTCAAATCATTAGAGATAGTTATGATTTAGTACCATCACATAAGAAACGCATTAGTCTAGATGCATATATAACAACGTAATGAGTATAAAAAAATAAAAAAATAAAAAAATAAAAAAAAAATAAAAAACAAAAAAACAACGTAATGAGTGTAAATTTTTTAACAAAAACCAAAAGTGCAACAAACTAAATCGTAGCAAATTAACCAAACTTAGCTGTGACAGTACAACCACGTGTAAGTCATTTTGCGAAAAAGAACAAAGAATCAACCAAACGAATGTTCCGAAATACTTTTCAACACACCAACTTATAATTAAGAAAACAATTAAACATGTTGAAAACTGTAGAATGGTCAATTCATTTTAGTGCCATCATCTTCTAATTTAAGCATCCAAAGCGATAAAACTTGCACTCACGTAAGTCAACAGCTGATCTGGAATTATAAACAAGAAATGACACTATGAGCTCGTGGTCGAGAATGTTTTGATACATAAGAAAATTTATGGTGCATGGTGCAGCAGATGTAGACATTATTTTGTGTGTACGGTGTACCTGCCTGCGCAAGAAAATTCTAATCTTAATGATAATTCAACGACAACACAATCCTTTATTTGAGTTAGGTGGTCGTGAAACCCCCTACGAAATGTAAAACATGGTTACGAAGCTTCTCATTCTCACTACATAGCAAAAAAAGACAAAAATTACAAGTCTCAATCGGATAGCTGTGACTGTGACAAAGTATTGTTACTTTGTCACAAAGTGTGTGAGTGATTTTGAAAAGTAGAAATTGTTGTGAGACTACAAGTACAAGTAGGGTTCAAAACTAAGGCTGCTTAATTAGTGTTGCTTAATCCCATTCGCTGAAACTTGTAAAAATATTCCTATTGGTAACACTTGACACATCATGTGTTTCATTCTAATGTGAATATGTGATTATGTAAAAAAAAAACTTGTTGATCAAACAAGAAAATCTGCAACATATATTATAGAATGCATGATATAATACAAATTTTTTTGTTTTTGTCTAGAAAATACAATTAAAAAATTTATTATACAAATAAGTGGATAAATTATATATATATTTTTTTAAATCTTAATGAACAAACATGTAATAATTTACGAGTACTTCCATAAAATAAAAACTAGAGGCAAAATACATGATTGAACCGTCTATACTTAACCGGAGTTTAATAAAATGGTTTAATAAGCGTAACCATTTAGGAAATGGTTGAACCGTATATACTTAACCGAAGTTTAATAAATGGTTTAATAAGCGTAACCATTTAGGAAATGGTTGAACATGGTTTAGAAAATGGTTGAACCGTATATAGTTAACCGAAGTGTAATAAGCGTAACCATTTCACATACCATTTGTCTATGGCCTCAGGCCCAAGACTGCATTTTTATCAATCTTCTTCTTCTTCTTCTTCCCCTCCTAACATAAACCCTAATCTTGGGGAGCTCTGCACAGTTTGCAGATCGTCAGATCCGATTCTGCGTACCATATTAAGCCGGAGCAATTGCTCGTGATCCATGACATCTAATTTTGTGAAACTCAGCACTCAATATATTTGCAAGTTCACCCGTGCGACTAGCTTACAAGCTCATCATACTGATATGGTTCAAAAGGTTTCGGTTTTGAAAGAGGAGCTTTTAACGATTGGTAACAGTAAGGAAAAGTTCAGGGACGTTTTGGATCAGAATGGGCAATGGTTGTTTAGAAGTTATCGTGATGGCGCTGGGATTATAGAACTTATGGATCAACTCTTCCCTCGTCATTACTTGGCTCTTCAGGTTCCTTTCTTCTCATTTCATCTATTGTGTGTTTTTAAAAGTTTGAAACTTGCTTCTGCCCTGTTTCTGCTATATCATTATCGGATTGATTTTGTGAGGAAGGGCTAAACATCGGTATACATTGAGCTGCTGCAAATGAAAGCAGTATAACGAAAATGTATTGATTCAGGAAAGTTTGTGACTTGGGTTTTGATGTTATGTCAATGTTCAGGTTTTAGACTGGAGGAGAAGCCAAACGGATTATTGTATCCCTTTGACATCGGAGGAGTATGCGAAAGGAATCAAGATTGCGGGTCGAGCTAGGGATGTAAACCTTGCAGTCTATCTTTTCGATGAGGCGGCTAAGAAAAGAATACAGACAGCTTCAGTTTATAATGCTTTGATGAGTGTTTACATGTGGAACGGGTTTGCTGATGAATGTCAATCACTTTTTCGAGATTTCACGAGGCAAACGCATTGTGCTCCGACCATTGTGACCTATAATATTCTAATATCAGTTTATGGTCGGCTTCTGATGGTAAAGAATATGGAAGCAGCTTTCGAAGAATTACAAAAACTGAAGCTTTCTCCAAATTCTGTCACTTACAACTTTCTAATTGCGGGTTATGTGACTGCCTGGAACTGGGATAAAATGGAAGCTACTTTCCGAGAAATGAAGAGTGGTCCAGTTGAGCCTGACACCGACACTTATCAGCTAATGCTTCGTGGGTATGCAAATTCGGGGAATTTGGAAAAGATGGAAGAAATGTATGGAGCGATTAAAGATCAGGTTGGTTTAAACAGTGGTCCTTTGGTCAGAGCCATGATCTCTGCATACTGTAAGAAGTCTGTTGAGGATAGAGTTCAAAAGATTGAAAATTTATTGAGTCTTCTCCCTGGGGAGGAATATCTTCCTTGGTTGAATGTACTTTTGATTCGACTATATGCTCAAGAAGACATTGTAGAAGCAATGGAGAATAAAATCAACGAAGCATTTGAGCATAAGACATGTGTTAATAAGTCGAGTATTATGCGGGCGATCATTACAGCTTACTTCAGGTGTAATGAAGTTGACAATCTTGCTAATTTTGTCAAGCGTGCTGAGTCTGCTGGATGGAAACTATGCAGGTCTCTTTACCACTGTAAGATCATAATGTACGGATCCCAAAAACGCTTTGAAGAAATGGAAGGTGTTGTAAATGAGATGGCACAAACTAACTATGGGCTTGTAACTAAAACGTTTGCCATTATGTATAAGGCTTATAAAAGCCATGGAATGGAGTCAGATGCTGAGAAAGTGAAAGGAAAGATGCTGAAACTTGGGCTTTAGATGCACTTCATATTGCGCAAAGAATTCTGTTGTATCAGTTTGTTCAGCGTCTTTATCAACTGTGAGCTCAGACCAAACAGAGTAACAAATGGTTAGTCCTGTTTCTGCCTTTGCATAAGTCGCCTGTTTATACTGAATTGCCAGGGTGTTATGCTTAGCATTTGGTCTCTTTTTGATATATCAGGCTGTAGAACTATGCCCAATGAAGCTCAATAAAATATGCTGGCTAAGCTTCCATAATCCGTCATTGGGGTTTTGGGATGAGACTAACGCATGTTTCTTTTCCCGTCATGAGTGACTCAACCATCACTGTTCTGCCATAGTTGTACATGTTACTGGCAGGGTTTGACATTTCCGTTGCACATTTTGATACTGTTGGCGGATAAGAAACAACAGTAAAACAAATTCGATACGAGTCATGAAGAACAGTGCCTGCCCTATCTGGGCGTTCTTGCCTGTGTTGCTGATAGGATTAGAACTTAGAAGAGCTATAATTTTCTTCTTTTTGAAGGCTTTGCCAAGTAAAGTTATTTCCTTAAGAGAAACCTGTTTGCAGTGGGTTTCTCTTTCAGCCATCTGTGTTGTTAGGCTATCAATACTCTTACCTTGGCATATTGCTCTGTTGTTTAGCTTGAGCCCTGTTCGTAATTATGAGGAAACAGATAGCTCACCTACCCATAATGTTTCAGTATAGTGGTAACACATTTGCTCATTGAGTTCTCACGAGTAAAGCCATGGAACTTATAATTTATGATGATTCTTTGTTTTTTTTGTCATTCAATTCTTTGCATTTCTATAAAGATGTCATCGTACATATGCACACGATTCTCAATCAAAATCTTTATGAAAATTAAAAAGTCATCACAATAGACTAACGACCAAAGACATTTACAATCTTCACAGTGATCAAATGCTTGTTAGTTTTCTTAATCCATTTTTTTATACACAGGACATTGAAGAAGAAGACAACAGAAAACAAAGCATTCCATTAATGTATTATGTTTCTGTTTCAAGCAACACTGAAGGAAGTAGCAGCATTCTCAACGAATTTCCTAGCTCCCTTAAACCACCTCTTGTCTCCTGCTTGTGCTTTGCAGATGTAAAGCTTTCCACCATTCACAGTGGCTGTTATCAGTTGGTGTTTTCCACCTTCATCTCCATCAGCTGTTCTTGTCAAAACCGACAAGTAATAGTATTGTTTCCCTCCGATCTCTTGTGTAGATGTTTCCAAAATGTTTGCAGTTGCTACTGCATTTGCATCAAACCCTCCCTGCAGAAAGATCAGTAACACTCTTTTTAGGTATCGGTTCTTGTTTGAACTCAGCAATTTCCTTCACTAACTTGAAAAATAGATTACCTCAGAGGCTGTTTCGCCAAAGTAAGCTTGCTTTCCCAGAAGATAATTCACCTGCAGAAATCAGAAACATATCATCAGTTGTGGTGGTTATCATCTAATTGCACTTCTTTGATAAAAACAGAGTGAAACCTGAGAGAGGAACTTTTCGGGAGAGCCGTAATCAGTGATGGATTTCTTGTCTGTAGGAGTGATCATGACAGAGACATTGCTGGTGGCGTCGAAGTTATCCTCGAACCTAAGAACTTGTCCTGGATACTCAATCTCTTTGCTTGGGTTCCACTTTGATGGGATCTGGATTTTGAATCCTTCTCCTGTGTACGGCAGGAAATCTGTGTTCTTCTTTGGCTTGCCAAACACATTTGCTGCAAAACGCACTCAAGAATCAAGATTTGCCTCATGATTCTCATTGATATGATAATGATCTACATATATAGAGAAAAAGAGGGATCATATGATACCAGCTTCACCATAGGCAGCGTCAGCAGGAGAGACTTTGGATCCGACAGCAGCTGCACCAACGAGGATGGTGAGGGCAAGACGGCGGGAGATGACAGAGTTATCGTCTTCCTGAGACTGTTGAGCTCTACATACTACTAAGTGGACGGGTCTCGAGAGAGACACATGACGAAACGACGAGGAAGATGATGATCGTGCCACGGAGGAGGCGAGTGCACTCTGGTGCAAGAAGCACGTGCTGTATGACATTTGCTCTCTTTCTCAATCTTCTGTTTTTGTTGCAACCTGAAGACCAAAGTGATGAAAGTGTTTTTAAGTATTGAGTTCAAGAAAAGAGTCTTGGATTTTGGATTTTGTGGCATCTTCTGTTTGGATGTCGGGATAAGGTTGTATAGGTTCTCCATTGTGCCACGTGGCACTGATCCTTTTGGTCTGAATGAATTTCAGTGGATTTTGTAATAGTTATGATCTCACTGGAAGTAAAATGAAACTGCTAGAAGAGTCTTTTATGAGTAATCTCGAAACTGTCGCATACGATTTGATAGTGAAAGAAAATATTAGAGCGACATGAAACCGGTAAAAAGTCCGGTTCATGATTAGATAAATAAAAAGACTTTGGGACAAGAACCACCAAAGTGAAATCGAGGAACCATCCAAACATACATTGTTTGTTTATACATCAATTCCTCTGCTTTCAAGGGACCCAAAAACCAAAAGCACCCACTCTTCATGCATTTCCCTTATGTTCTGCTTTGTCTTCGCGCTGCCTTTTATGGACATCAACCTTTGGAACATATTGGTCTTTCTTCTTACCTGAATCTGAGTTGTTGCCTGACCTGGTCTTGGTTTTCTTACTTCTTTGATTCTTAGCCATTGACGCAGTAACTTCTCTTGGAGGTGCGTTTGGTTGCTTATTTCCATTGGCTTGATCAGAAGGCATGTTCTCTTTCTTGTTACCCGAACTCGAACTGTTAGCTGATTTGTGCTTGGAATGCTTCGCTGTAGAAGCAGCTTCTGGTTGGTTAATCCCATTGGTGGAATTAACAAACATTTTCCCTTTTTTCTTACCCATATCAGCATTGTTGACTGATTTGGGGTTTCCTTGCTTATTGTTTTGCTGCCTAGGTATCGATGCAGCTTCTGTTTGAGCCATGTTGTAGTCTTGCTGCCGATTCCTGTGAGTATGACTAGGATGCTTGTTCTCTTTCAAACTCAGAGACCAAAAGAGAGAGTTGAGGAAAGAGCTTGGTTTCTCTTCCCATCCACCGGAATCATACATCTCAGTCCTCGAATGTTTAGGTCTCATAGACTCCGGCGGATTTGAAAGTCCTGCGTGGCCATCATATGAGAGAATACAAGCTATCACATGCATAGAAGCTCCGAGATGAGGCGGCAAATGTTCCCGTGGATGTGTTACCTATTAAATGCCAATAAACGGTTGGACATTCAAATCAAATAACAGAACCCTTGAAGTATGAAGTAGATTTAAGTATAATGGATAATAAACTCACCTTGAACAGAATAGACGCCATTAGTCGTTCCCGCAAAATGTACATTTGAGCAACTTCAAGGGCTGTGGTTCTGAAAGGCAACCAGCGATCAACTACCAACTTGACTGAATTTTCAGGTGAAGACATCACTTTCGCCCCACGTCTACTCTCTTCTTTATGTATGTCCATTCCATCTTCATTAGTATTAGCTTCTCCATCTTCATCCTCTTCTTCTTCATCACTATCATCAGAATCACTACTCACTGTAGGAGCCACTGCTATCTCTGTTGAGATAAGTAACAAAGGAAGATCACGAGCAACAGTGCAGTTTCTGATGTGCATGCCTCCATCTCCACGTGTGATCTCATCAAAAACAACCAAAGATTCATCATACTTTTTCGACGACAAATTGAAGTTGTTTGACAGCGAATGCACACGCACTTTGGCACCACTAGCAGTCTCTACTATAGTTCTTCGATTGTTACCAAAAGCTGGGCACAATTTTCCCACCATAGGATACAATCCTACGGCTAGAACAGCACGGAGTATACCGGGATCACGCGAATTCTGGCTACAGCTTGAAATATCGTTGGGAATAATCCCATGTCTTTTAAGTTCCGACTCAAGTTGGCTACGCATTTGGTCCAACATCTTCATAGCACTAGGAGAAACAAAGTACTGAGAGCAAAACTCTGCCGAAAGACCTCTTTCTTTGGCAATTTTCCAACATTCAAAGGCAGCAACAACTGCAAGGTGATCACTGTCACCTCCACAAAGTGACGCAAGTTCAAGTTTTGCAGCAGCAGCTTTTTGCCTTTCAACTGGCGACATAGGCATCGTAAATGGTTCCTTGTAGTCGGCAGCACATGCCAGAGTAAGTGCTGGATCCAGACAGTTTACCAATACAGCGAAGAAAAGCATTTTGCTAATCAGAGGATGAACTGGGAGATGACCAAATTTCTCTCCAAGTTCTGTCAGCTCTTCCTGAGGTGTCAGGGCCCCAATGTCCTGTAGTATGCTTAAGGCATTTGCAATACTTTGATCAACAGGTGGGTCCAACAGTTTCTGAAGGAAATCATTTGTTTTACAATTTGGATCAAGTATCTTAACCTGAAAATGTTATTGAAGCGCAATGATCAGTACAGATTACACATACACGAGCGGCTCACCGCATAGAGCCAGTTACTATTCTAATAACAAAATGAGAGATGCAGTACCTGTAAGCAGAGTTCTTCTACAGGCATCCTCTTAATTTCGGGAACTTTAAAATCTGGCATAGAGGCTGCCCGAAGTCTAGAATAGAGATGATAACAAATGCCAGGTTGGCAGCGGCCTGCTCGACCCTCACGCTGTTTTGCATTTGCTTTTGATACCCAAGAAGATTGAAGGGTTGAGACATTATTGTAAGGATCATAGCTCTTTTCCTTCATCCGGCCACTATCTATCACATAAACCACATCATCAATAGTAACTGCTGATTCAGCAATATTTGTCGCCAGCACGATTTTGCGACAACCTCGAGGGGGGCGATTAAAAACTTTCTTCTGTTCCCCTGCTGGTACCATCGAGTGAAGACATATAATGTCAAATTTGACACTATCTGCGAAGAAAGGGTTCTCAAGTAATCTCTGTCTTGTTTTATTTATATCATCCCATCCAGGTAGAAAAACAAGAATGGCACCATCTTCTGAATCACCACAGATTTTCCTCATTAACTGCAGTATCAGACTCACATCAACCTGCTCTGGGTTGATTGTCGCCATGTACTTATCAAGTAACTGTTGTCCCTGCTGAGAATTAGATTGGGAATTGTCTGCATGCTCCCTGATTATTTGAGCAGCTTCCAGTTGATTCTCTGTTTCTGCCAATTCTAATGCGGTCATACCATCTTTAGACTTTAAGTTCCAGTCTGCACCAAATGAGAGGAGCATGCAGACATCACTGATCCTACCCTTTCCAGCAAACACCATTAATGGTGTTAGCCAGGTTGATTGGTGCTGATAATTGTAGATCTCATGACTTCTTCTAGAAGAAACTAGATCTAAGAGGGCATCAAACTCGTCATTGGTCCAAGCCAAGATGATTGCTTCATCTAAAGCAAGTTTATCTTCATCCGTCAAATCAAGCTTGTGGTCAGGTATACTTAAGTTGGCAGAGTTTAGATGATTATCTCCACCTGATTTCAGAATAGAGAGAACATCCTCCAAATACAAGGTTCTTACCTGTACAAGCAAGGAGATTATATTTGGGAACAAAAGAATTACCATATTCGAGAAAGAGAGAAAAAGAGAAATTAACTGGATAAGTGAATCCAGGGACACGGACAACTGGGCAGCCTCCAAAATATCCCGAAAATCTCTCAGCATCAAGAGTAGCACTCATGAGAATCTGTAGGTCCAGAAATTTCCAAGAAATCAGCTAAAGAGCGAGTACAAGGACATATTCAAAGACGTTTAACAAGTCATCAAGTCCAGCTATCACAGGTTCTTAGGCCATGTATACAATTTCGTCGGAGTTCACTTGTCCTTTGTGGAATGTGAACTTTCGACACAGTATCTTTCTTTGAAAATTCTAGTTTTTTAGAACTTACTCCACAAACACACAAATACCACAAAAGAGAATTATTTTCTAATTCATAATGCCTCTTCTTATTAATTCGTTATCCGGAGCGGAGGGAAGGGGACACCTTTCAATATACAAAACATACTCTCTCTTTTCTTTTCCCTCTCATATATCCCTTTCCCTCTTCTATTTAGACTAAGGAAAAAAATATATAACTATAGCTTCTTCTTTCTGTTCCTTTGTTATAAGTGTATTATAGCAGTGAAAAGTAAAGAAGAACACAGAGCATAACTAACCAGACGGAGATGAGGATTTGACGGAAGCAAGTCCCTGCAAATCAACAAATCATCGCAAAATTATTTGAGTTCTGTCACACACCCAAAGAAAATAGTAGAATAACTATCTTCTTTTATGGCTTGCTGCTTCAGAGAAAGATAAATACATGTGGACAAGTATAGTATTTGGCATATAAATTATGGTGCGGTACAATTGAATGCTAGCTTTAACATCAGAATCTTAGGTCACATAGAAAGATAGACTTAATTTGTTTGATAACACCCATTGACAGGAAAAATGAACCAACGTTTGAGAGGGCAAAGAACTCTACCTTATAATTGCCAACATGAAATCAGAATAGCAATCCCTTTCATGGATTTCATCCTACAAAGTAACATTCAGGTCACTGATCAACGTAGACAGCCACAGAATCAAATTTACAGCCAGGGGTGAAAATAGAGAATTGAAGATGGCAAACGATAACAAAAAGGCATGCCATAGCGACACAATTTATAACTAGTTTTTCAAGCAATTTCATTTTCCTGCAATTCTCGGCATATGTATGAAACACAAACTTACTGAATACAAGATAGCGGATCAAATTTAAATAGGTTAAGTACCACAATGATGTGAGTTATGCCGGAAACACAGCTACCAGAGCCTTTTCCTACAAGCACCCTCAGGAGAATACCATTCGTGCAGAATACAACTGATGAGTGCCTTCCACCTTTGCTTTGGAGCCGAACCTGGAATTTACAATTTAAGTCAATGGCGCACTTGTCTACAATATTGAAACACAACCACCTTTCATGTAAAAATGCAAGTGTCTCCCTACAAAGATTACTGACCTTGTAACCAATGTTTTCTCCAATGCTTTCACCTCTTTCACAAGATATTCTTTCCGAAACTGCAAAACAGGGATGAAAAACAGTAAGGAAGGGGTAAGGAGTATACAGCGTACATGTGCAGTAGAACTGTATTCAAGAGATCAACAAGTACATAGCTGCATAAAAAAAAACGATCAACCTGACATCGCAGATATTCGACGAGGTTGGGTGCAAACAATTTTGCAAGTTTCTCTTTTGCTTGACCACATATGGTCTAAAAGATATTGAGGCACCTAAAATAATAAAATGGAGGCCCTTGAGAATCCTCGAGAATGAAAAAACTGTAGGCAATTTCAAATTCAACTGAATACTCTTTGCATATCCAAAATTACAATCCCAGGCTCACGTTAAGCAAAATCCTATAACACAACATACTTCATAAAATTCAAAGTAACGTGAATATGTAGCCCTGGACAAGGCAGTTGACAGCCTGACCCTCGAATCCAAGGGGTGAATTAACTAAAATGGCTTAGGAAGTCTACTGAACTACAAGAAAACAAGGGGTAGCAAATACCTGAGTAGTTTTCCCGCAACCAGTTTCACCAGATATGAGAATAACCTGCATTTGCAATAAGAAGATATAATGAATTCTTTTTCAAGCAGTGGATATCATCACATCAAGCATATCCATACAACTAAAAAAAATTATAGCAAATAACATATCAAATAGTTCACAGAACCTGATTGGATTCCACTGCAGATGTAATTGCGTCTCTAAAGGATGTGATGGGAAGCTTTGACCGCAGCTTAGCGATCTGTAACATAAATCAACAAAAACAATTTCCTTTCACTTGCTGCTACTTGGCATGATTTATAACTTCTCAATCTGTATTCTGGATAAGGAATCAATATTACAGTCCTTTCAAACAAAAGAAATACAGCTCAACAACTGGGTGTTCCTAACCTCCTTAAGAGCTTTATCCTTCTTAAGTCTAGAACTCAAAGATGCCACTTTTTCTAGAATCTCTTCACTGCTAATTTTTGGTTTCCCGAAAAAATCATCTTTCCATTGACCTTGTTTACCCGACTGCCCGGAGTACTTGTTATTTGATGTGGCAGCAGTGTCTCCGTCACAAGGTGGATAGTGAGTAAATAACTCCTGTAGAATAGCATCTGCCCCTGGCGGAAATGACACACATTTGAGCTTCTCTTTCTTTGATTTCTCATTGGCTTCTTTACTCTTCCCACTTTTGTGTCCGCTTTTGAATATCGAAAGACGCCTTTGTTCTCCACGCCTATAAAAGCATCCACAAGAATCAGAAACACAAGACCCTCAAGTCATAGCAATTGACATTTCGCCATATAAAAATGAATACTTTCTCAAACCCCAAAACACTATGTAGCACAATAAAGGCAGTAAATCACCCCCGGAACTCTCAAAGCATAGCAATCGAACTTACGCCATCGAAAAATGAGTAAGTTCTCAAACAGTATTAGAGTAAAATAAAGGCAGTAACTCACCCCAACTCTAAACTCATAGAATTGACCATTCTTCATGGAAAAATGAATACTTTGGCAAACCCCACAACAATATAAAGTACAGTAACTCACCTCTGAACTCTCAAGTCCTAGGAATCTAACTTTCTCAATAGAAAAAAAATAATACTTTTCCAAACCAAAAATACTGTAAAGTAGATAGAATTGAAGGCAAGTGACTCACCCTGAACTTTTGGATTGAATGCCCATCTTCCGGCACATCTGATGAATTACGCCACGTTCGTTATTTGATAGATTATGCTCAAACGTGTAAACTACACAACACAATGCAACAAAATCCAATCAATACTATACAAAAAAAAAAAAAGGCAGCCCATTTCCAATCCAACAGCACAATTAGAGCTCCTAAGTAATCTCATATACCATTTCCGGAAAGAATCAGTAAGAAAAGGAAAGAAATAGAATCCAAAGAGAAGAATTGGTTTTCCCGGAGCTAACTCACCTTCATTCCCGGAGGCTCTAAAGTCTTCGATGACCTTAGTCGCCCAAATCCTAGTAGCTTCGACGGAAGTTGGCTTCCCTGCATTTTCAGACCTAAATCTCTTGTTCCCCATCGCTTATTAGGGTTTGCTCTGTTCGGTCTCTACCTGAGAAACACTTAGAAAACTGTACGGCCTCTGAGATTCAAAGAGCAGCCCTTGTAAATTGTGTAAATTTTTGTTCGATGAGTTTTTTTTTTTTTTTGCCCTTCCCAGAGTTTGCTTGCTTGCATTATAAACCGCCTTCTCCTCTTCGTTTTTCTTTTTTTTTTCCTTTTTCAGAAATTAAAAAGAAAACAAAATTTGATAAACCAAAATTAAAATATAAATAATTCCTTAGGAAATGGGCAGAGATGGGATAAAGTAACTGGTTTAAGTTCGGGTTCGGTTCTAATAAAACACTAACCATACTCAACCAAAGTTAATTTGGTTTGGTTTGTGTTCGGGTCGGTTTGTGTTCAATTCAGTTCGGTTTGATTTTATTCTGTAAGAAAAAAATCAATAAACTGTAAATTCAATAATTCAAATAGAAAGAAATCCTAAAAATATTTAAAATCAAATGTCTAGCAATAGTAGAAAATAAAAATAAAACGTTGAAAGAATGTTGGATTACATATCTAGTTGTTTAAAATATTATTAATTAGTTAATTAATTAACACATTGGATTTTTCGGTTTGGTTCGGTTATATTAATTAATTAATTAACCAAGCCAAACTGAACCATTCGGGTTCAGAAGAAACACATCCAAATGGTTTGAGTGTAAGATTGGGTCTGGTTTGGGTCGGTTGGTTCGGTTCGGTTTGGTTTGGTTTAAATGCCTACCCTAGTTACTACTACTTCTGCTTGAGGCTCATTCCTTGTGGGAGCTCCCATATGAATATTGAAATTTTTAATTAACTCGTCAATATAAAAATATGTATTGTGACTTTCAGTTAATTTTTTTGCATGAGACTTTTTTACGTGTAAGCCTCTCATCATATGTTCATATTAATTCTTTATCCTTTTTCTGATGCATTTAGATAACTAGATACCTATTATTATTATTTTGCCTTTAGTCGTAAGCAAGAATTACTTACATTAATTAGTTCGTCTTTACTTAAATTATTTGATGAGAATATATCCCTTTAAGATGATAAGATGATTATAAGATGTTATACAAGTGTTTATGATACGATGATAGATAGAGTTATTAATCTTAAGGTACTTGACCAATTAGTTGATTTTAGTTTAATGGAATTGTAGGAACCAATAGAAGAAAACTTCATATCATATATTAAAAAAACCATGGACAACATCGATTTTATTAATTAGGAAGAAACATTTTATTCATAAGTATGTGATTATGGACATTTTGGTCCACCTTCTTTGGTCGTCCAGTTATTGTAACAAGGACATTCTTCTTTGTGTCCGTATGTTCCCGATGGTACGCACAAACATTTTCTACAACATTTGTTGCAGAAGAACAAACATGGTTTCTTGTGAGATGTCGCTGAACATCGATATGCACATGCCTTTGGACATTCTACACACAAAATATAGAACAACGTCAAATAAATTTACTTAAGATATGATTCAATCACATTCATTACATTAGAACGAACAATTCAATAATTTACCTTCTATTCGAAGTGAGCCTTCTCCTCCCATCTGAATTTTGTTGGATGACGCACATAAATTTGTGATGCAAAAGAAATAAAGAATGGTTACAATTAAAATCATTTAAAAATTATATGTGTGTGATATTATTATTTGTTATATATTTTTTCTTCGTAATTTGATGTTTTATATAAAAAAATATACCTTATGGATTTCAGGTGCTTCAACTGGACTTTCAAATTCCTCAGCCTATACGAAAACAAAACATTTTAATTAAAAAAACAAATTTTGACGAATTCATAAAACAAAAGGAGTGAAAAAAAAAGTAATTGAATTTTTACATTGGAAAACTGAGTAGCAAGCAACAAACTTGATACTAAAACAAAGAAAAGGATGAATTTCTTCATCATTTTTTTTTCAAACTCTTTCTTTTCACTTTTGATTTATTTAATTTTTGATGTATTTGACTATCAATGGTGAATCTATTTATAACCAATAACACTGGTGTATTATGGAAGGTTTTTAAACATTAGTGAGAATACCAGATACAAAATATTTATTATATTTTGACCAAAAAAGCATTTTTTATGTTAAGAATTGTAAACAAATTATTATTTGTTGACCAAAAAAAAGCATTTCTTATGTAAGAGATGTAAAAAAATTATTATTTGTTGACCAAAAAAGCATTTCTTATTTATGAAGATGTAAAAATTTATTATATGTTGACCAGTATGATCAGAGATGTGTTTTCTTTCCTAAATAATTTATGAAATAAAAATATATTAATATGTTTACAAAAGTAAGTATTCGTTCTATTCAAATGTGTTTTCATTCCTAAAATAAGTTTATGCATTAGATATATATTATTAAATGATGCTAATTCAATTTAATATCATTTAATAAAATAGAGATTATTGTGCTTTAAATAATGCTAATTATTATCATTTAAGGCCATAATCTCTATTTTATTAAATGATACTAAATTGAATTAGCATGCACATAGCAAATAAATTCTATATTAAGCTCACATAACATCTTCCTTCACATCAATTCTCAGTAGCTAATAAATAAAAGAGCTAAAAAGATGCGAAAAATAAAATTCAAAAAAAAAAAACAATATGATGAAAAGAGTTGAAATTTGTTTATTCTATTTTTCGAATGTTCCAAGTTTTTTTGAAAACAGGCAATGATTTCTCACGAATATATTTGAAACGAACGAGCAAGATTAATCCACGTAGGATTAGGAATCAAACGCGCCCGCGAGTGTTAAAACGTACGAAATATTTATGGACATTTAATTTAATAATAGTATTTGAAAAAAAAACAAAATGTGATGGCATTTCAAAATCGAAGCCTCACACAAAAGCCTTTTTGGGGATTTTCAAATTTGAAAAAACAAAAAGACTCTCAGACCATAAGACTCAGACCCACCACCACCTCCATGCCACAACATCGATCTCTTTCTCGAGAATCTATTTTGTAGGTTCCTCCATCGCTGTTCCTTTCTACTACTTACCATACCACCATTACATATTCAAATCAAGACTTCATAAAAATTGAGTCGAGAACCATAAAAGTTCTTAGAGCCATGGGTTGTCTCTTCGACTGCTTCCGTTCTACTAAAGACGACGAATCTACAAGCGACTCTGTTTCTCAAGTTAAATCCAAAGTAGTAGTAAGTCTCACCGCTTCCTTTGATTATTATTAGCTCATGTTTTTTAGTGTTAACATCTTTGTTTTGATAGGGAGTTCATGAATCGAAGAATCGTTTGTCAGCTCTGTTTTTATCTGAAGGTGGTGAGAAAAATGAAATTATCTTCTTCTTTGATGTTTTTTTATGGTTTGAAACAAAGATCTTACTTGTTTTACTCTATTTGTTAGAGAACGGAGCTTCATCGACTTGTCATGACATAGAAGGATCTGGTTTGGATTCTATGCATATTGACAAAGATGTTAAGGATGAGGTATGTTGTTAACATTCAAATCATACTCTTTAAGTATTATAGGTGCTTTTATTAGTCACTCTGGATCAAGATTTTTGGCTTCTTGATATTAGTTAGCGAGTTATAAAGCTCTTGCCTTTCTATTTTATACTTTTCGAGACAACGTTCTTCTCTTGCTTGAAATGTGATATTTTAGCTAAAGCTCTTCTTGGTCAATGACAAGGAAGTTGTAATTGAGGAAGTTTGTCTAGAATCTTCATGATTGCATTGTACACTTCACAGCTTTTGGGTATTTTTTCCTCTGTTTTTGTGTTCTTAGTTATGTCAGCTGTATTGAAACAGGTGTATTTAGATCATTGTAGTTTATGTTAACTTGCATTAGTGTCTGCATCTTTACTACGGACATTATCTGAAAGTTTGTGCGAGTTACTCTTATGAAGAAAAAAATAGAGCTTGGCAGTTATCATTGTTTGCATATAACAACAGAATCTGCTTGTCACTTTCTTGAGAATCTAACTTCAGTTTTATTTACTTGTGGAGCTACAGGCACAGATTCTTAAAGCTTGCAGCACAATACCTGTGACACCAGTTGAAATGAAGAAAGCGTTCGAAAAAATGGAGACCCATGTCAGTAACTCTGACGCAATGGATGAGATAAAGAATGATCCCTGTGAAGAAATGGGAAGATCTTTAGATACTTCTTCAGAGCAAACTCCTAGCAGGTGAATTGCTAGATGTTACTTTCCTTGATTAATATCTCTTTTTAACTGATCTTTCAATTAAGTTTTCTAGAATTGGTACGCTTGCATATCCTAACAAAAGTACTTTTATCACACAAGAGGTTGCATGGAGCTAAATTTTAGTCTTTTTCTTGTTTTTCCAGTATCAGTTGCTTGACCGATGCCCGTAACAATGCGAGGATCTCTTCTGCATCTAGTGACGCTAGTGAAGAAAGCATTGGTACTGCGTTCAGGGACGATGTGGATATAGCCGGCATGGTACCACTCAAAGCTGGAAACATTAAGAGAAAGACAAAGTCAGTGCGGTCTTCCAAGAACAGCACCTCAAGGAAACCTGAGATGGCTGCAAAAACTAATACCCCTTCAACTTCGCCTAATCTGACCGCATTGAAGCTATCTCATGAGATTCAAACTCCTAGAACCATCTTTCCTGAAGATATGGGATCAGCAGGAAGGGGGAGACAAAGAGTCCGGTCGCAGTTTGTGTATCCAGCTTCCAACATAATTGAAAATGCCTCCCTATGTAAGCTCTCCCAAGATTTAAATGAGAACCTGGAACAAGCTAAAGTTCAGGGTTGCAAAGAGAAGAGAGAAGATGAATCTCCCACATCAACGATTTGCGAGGAAAAGTTAGAAGATGGTTCTGATGGAAAATACGCGATAACGGAAACTAGTAGCTCTCCTTGGATGAACCAGGGTAAAAAGAAGAGTGACAAAAACATGGAGGCTATATCCATAACTCCTGGGGACAGACCTATCATTGGAATGGTTGCAGCTCACTGGAATGAGAATAAACAATCTCAAATCTCACCCAAATGGTGGGATGGTAATGGGATACCAAACTCTACAAACAAGTATAAAGAGGTACTCTCATGGTTCTTTTGTAATCTCTAGTTTTCTTCACATTCCCCCTCATTTTTAATGAGCTTAGGATTGAATTTTTTATTAATGCAGGACCAGAAAGTGAGTTGGCACGCAACACCTTTTGAAGAGAGATTGGAGAAGGCACTTTCAGAAGAGGGTGGTCAAAGTTTCATCCCTTCAAGGTACAATTTTCTCCTTCCTTTCGCGGTTAATATATGCAAATTTAAAAAGCTTATATTGTGTTATTAGATCATTTATGATGATGTGGGATTTGAAGATAGTAAGCAATGATGAATGAACTTGTGGTTTTGCAGAAAACTTGGAATAGTGGAGGAGACTGAAAGGGACACGGCCATTTCACATCTACGACATTCAGCTCAATCCATGTCAGTTGTTTCCTTTTGAAGACCGTGTGTGAATCTATTGAGGTAACATTCTCTTATGATCTCTCTACTAGGATCTCTAATATTCTCTTAGTTTTTGTACATGGAAGAACCGTTAAATGAGAAGCGTTGTCTAGCTATGTACTCCAATACTACATACCTAGTAAACAACACAATGTCATATATATCTCAACACACGAACTACAAAATGAAAGTCATAAGATACTGATGGTTTAAGTCTATATATTATTGGATACACAATATATATGAAAAACTACCACATGTTGTTTTTTTGGTGGAAACTCTAGATATGTTCTAAGATTTGGCTCCACTATTGTTTTCAGATCCTGAAATGGAGCAATGGTGAGGTTCCATCGAGTCCTCTAGCCAAGTAATGTCTAGCCATCTCGGTCGTGGTTGTGTCTCTGTACTTGGGAGGGTTTTGTTCAGATAGAAGCTCTTTGATTGGTCCATATCTTTGTTCATTTGGTATGGTGTGCATGAAGAAAGAGGCGGTTGAAATGCGCGGTTCCTCGCCTCTATTCGCCAAAACCCTGTGCTCTACACTTACAAACTTATCGTTTGTTATAAGCTGCAAGCAAACATTGAAAAAAGAAAAAAAAACGTTTTGAGATTTGTCAAAAGATGGAAGATTTGATTGGTGTATTAAGTTTCTTTAAAACAAATTTTAACACATTTGCCTGTAAGAGATCTCCTAAGTTAACAATAAGAGCTTCGGGATTAGGAGGAACATCGATCCAGTATCCATCATGGAGAACTTGAAGTCCACCAATTTTGTCTTGGAGAAGAATAGTGATAAAAGATATATCTGTGTGTGAACTGATCCCAAAGGTTCGGTCAGGCTCTGGACAAGGCGGGTAGTAATGAGAGAGCAACGACAAGCTCTTGGCGCAGCCTAGTTCTTTAAGGTGGTTAGGTTTTAATCCGAGAGCTTCTGATAAAAGCTCAAAGATTAGCTCTCCTAACTTCATCATTCGCTTGGAGTACTCCAACATTATTTCCCTGAAATATTATTAGTTAGATAAATTTAAATAACCGAAATCGAACCAAATTAGAATTTTTTAATTATTATTCTTAAGTTTTTACGTTTATTAACAAAACTTATATCTAAAATTTATTTAGGACCAAATTACATATTACATTCCTTCATTTTGTTTTAGAACCATTCTATTTTCTTACCCATTATTTGTATTATTTTTCTCTATTAAAAAAGAATCTAGTGATGTCATGAAATTTTAAAACTTAAAAAAGAAAAGAGAAAAATATGTACCGACAAATCGCAGGTAAGTCCTCAACTTGTGGAACATCAGGAGCCATGACCGTAGTTAAAGTATCTCTCCAGTTGGCAGCTTGAGAGCTATAGAGATCGAAGTTAGTGTTATACTAAACCTTTTTGGTAATGTCACGACTATAAAACGTTTTCTTCACTTCCAAGTCTTGTTCATGAAACCCACGAATCCCATCTTTCATCTTCTCCATCACATCAACTGGAATCCCATGGTTGATCACCTGGAAGAACCCGAACTTCACAACCGCGTCTCTCACTTCTGCGATCACGCTCTCTCGAGTGACTACCGTGGTGGACTCGAACACGCCGCCTCCAAGATCGATCGTTGGGATCTTTAACGTTGAAGGACTAGGTTTAGGGTTTGTAACGGTGGCATGATGAGGGTGGTGGAAAATGCGTGGGATTTGTTTGATCCCGGAGTCGATGAGACCCTTCACGCCAATCTTCATCTCGTCGAAGGCTTTTACCTCACCGGTACGGTCATAGTAACCCACCATTGTGTATGTCGTTTCTTATACGAGAAGGGAAGAAAAGGTTGAAGAAGTTAACGAGAGACTTTGTTGTGCTTCGTAATGTAGTTTGTTGAATACTTGAATCTATTGGTATGTGACCTCTCCGTATATATAGCAAAAACAAAAGTGTATTTGGTGTATGTGTAAATCAGACACAATTTCTAACAACGTTTTTGTTGATGTTTTATTATATCACTATATGTCGTATAAGCCCATGTGATACAGTACTTGAGTCCATCTAAAGTGACTAGTGCCGGTCAGCTAAAAATTCTGGGACCTCGTCCGAAATAATTATGCTTTTTTTTTTTTTTTTTCTCTCTTTATAGTACGAGCCAAACAAAATATATTCATGAAAGACATGTATTAATTTTGTAATTTTGTAAATCATGTTTTGAGAACCACACAAATCAAGAGTCGTGCTATCACTCTCACTCTTTTTTTTTTTTTTCCCTAAGCTCAGATAATTATGCTCTTGTGGCCACCGGCCGGCCGTCCTCCACCGTCCAACTTTGATGCATGTCAATATGTATCCCTCGCCAATATCAACAGCTGATGATAATTAATGCCAACTCTATCATTGTTACTTTTTCGTGTTGTGAAACTCGTTCGTCTAGTCTAACCACATTATCGTTACTTTTTCGTGTTGTGGCTTCTTCAATCTGTTCTCACTCTTCGTCTTCAGCTTGGCACTCCTGAAGAACACCTTTATCGTTATCACTTCGTCAAACTCCTCATGTCTATGTTGAGTGGACGTACTGAGATCATTTTTATGAATTATGTTTCCATGTTTTTATCTTTTTTTGCTATGGGACCATTTTTATAGGATTATAATCTATGATTGTAAACTTAAATATTTTCATTTTTAATGAAATATTTACATTCTTAGCAAAAAAAAAAAAAGTCTAACCACAGTAATTCCTCTATATAGAGTACTCTTAGCATGTTAAAACTTAAATGTTACCAAATGATTCGAGCAAATTACTTTACTTGGAACATCTAATTAATTTAAAAAATAAATTTTCGAAGTTATGATGATCTTATAGATAAGTCGATGGATCCTGATAGAGTTGAAGGCAGAAAGTAATGAAGAAATTACGAAAGGAAGAAAACACAACCCTAATTTAGAAAAAAGAAGAAGAAAATAAATTAATCCAATTGGTAATTAAGAAATTTGAATTAAGAAATATGTATAAGTTAAGCCCAACATGTGTGTGTGAACATGGTACATAAGTGTGTCCACCATTATTTGATACCCTAAAACGGAGCAATAGGGAGGGAAGTCACATCGAGTCATCTAGCACAGTAGTTTTTGAAAATCTCCGAGTGGGTTGTACTCTCTTTAGACATGTTTTTTTTTTTTTTTTGTGAATAAATCTCTTTAAGTACTTGCACAGTTTTTGTGGAGAGTACATGCAAAAAGATGCGACCTGTTATTATTTTTAATCTCCAATTTTATTAAAACGATTAAGCTTTCATTCAATCAACCAAGATTTGGCTAAACAAAAAAATGTAAAGTCTAATCTTACGTATAAAACTCTTCTCTCGATAAAATTACATAAAACACCATTTAAAAAAGTTCCCACCTAGATTTCACGATGTTGGAGAAGAAGAATTAAAATCATTTTGAAAGTATTTAAAGTCCAAAAGATCAGATCTTGAAATCAAGCAACACAGAGTTCCCGTCGAGTCCTCTTGCCATGTAATGACTTGTGTACTCAGTGACGGTGGTGTCTCTATACTTGGGTAGGTTTTGCTCTGACAAAAGCTCTTTTATCGGTCCATAAACTCGTAAACTCGGTAAAGGATGCACAAAGAAAGATGCGACTGAGATCCGCGGCTCTTCACCTTTATTAGCCAAAACTCTATGCTCCACGCTCACAAACTTGTCATTCGTTATAAGCTACAAAACAAAATCACACAAAAAAAAAAAGGTATATGATTCATACTGTATCGAACAAACAAACGGGTTGATTTATGTCACAATAACTCTTGACTTGCCTGTAAAAGATCTCCAAGGTTAACAAGAAGAGCTCCTGGAACAGGAGGAACATCAACCCAATAACCATCTTGAAGAACTTGAAGCCCACCAATGTGATCTTGAAGAAGAATAGTGAGAAATGATCTGTCTGAATGCTGACTTGTGCCGAAAGTTAGATCAGGCTCAGGACAAGGCGGGTAGTAATGAGAAAGCATCAATAAACCTTTTGTGCAATCCATTTCTTTTAAATGGTTAGGATTCAGCCCTAAAGCTTCTGATAAAAGCTCAAAGATTAGTTCCCCTAGTTCCATCACTCTTTTCGAATACTCCAACATTATTTCCCTAAAACATTCACACAAAGTACGAATCTTTAGATTGACCAAGACAATAAGTTATAGATAACAAAGTAAGCGAGACTATATATCGTACGTACCCACAAATCTCTGGTAAGTCCTCTGTTTTTGGAACATCAGGGGACATAAAACAACTCAAGGTATCTCTCCAATTCGCTGAAGGAGAGCTATAAAGATCGAAATTACTGTTATACTTAACCTTCTTGGTTACATCACGAGTATAAAACTTTCTCCTCACGTCTGAGTCTTGCTCATGAAACCCACGAATCCCATCTTTCATCTTCTCCAAAACATCAAGTGAAACCCCATGGTTAATCACCTGAAAGAACCCGTATCTCTCAACCGCTTCTTTGATCATCGCGGTTACGCTCTTTCGCGTGACAGTGGACTCGAACACGCCTCCTTTGAGATCGATCGTTGGGATAACCATCGTTGTCGACGAAAGAAGTGGATTCGAGTCGGTTAGATTGAGATGAGGGTGATGGAAGATACGTGGGATATGAGCAAATCCGGCATCGACGAGACCCTTTACGCCGATCTTGGTCTCGTCGAAAGCTTTGACCTCACTAGTACGATCGTATGTTGCGTCCATCTTCTTCTCCTTTCTCCCTAAGTCAAAGAAAACAGAACAAAAGAGAGAACTTTGATACCTCTTTGTATATGATAATATTAAAAAGAAATGAGGTGAGTGGCCAAAGCTGTGAGTGGGTAAGCCAGTAGATAACAACAAAAGAGAGAAAAGAATATCTTGCGCTAGGTCAAGTTGGTGTTTAAGTCTCTGTGAATTCGCTTTCGAAAGTGAGTTTGAAACGACAGCTATTTCTTTATTCAATTCTGGTTGCTTGAGGGTTGAGACTTAAGACTTTTTAAAAGTGGCTAAGAAAATATAAGCAAAAAAGAATGGAGATGCGGGGTATCGATCCCCGTACCTCTCGCATGCTAAGCGAGCGCTCTACCATCTGAGCTACATCCCCACTATTGATCTATTATTCCAGATAATAATTAAAAATAAAGTATACTAGTTGAGTATTTAGTATAATTGATTATATATGTCGTGTATCTAAAACATAGTACTACTCCTACGAGTGTGCTTGGAAAAATTGTTTAGAGTAAACTATAAGTGTAAAACTAAATAAATCTTCTCACTTGTATTGGGTATAGTAAAATTTTCAAGAATAGTTGAGAAAATCAAGATGTATTCCAAAAAGATACTGTAAGTTTTAATTTATGATATAAATTCTTATATGTGTATTACTACATAATACAGACACACATTCCTCAATTAGCAATTGCAGATTATATTTTAAAGTTTATAAAATAAATTAATCTACGTGGTATTTAAAAATAAAATGTAAAAATAAAGTACTTAATAGCACCATAAGATCAAAGCATCTTCAACAAATAGAGAATTTATCTTAAGAGTAACCAAATCCAAAAGCAGTATCGTTTTGTTTTTTATAAAACAAGGTAAATCTTCTCATTTTTTGGTGTGTTAAATACATGAATTTAAATATAGGCAAAAAAAAAAAAACTATGGATTTTGTGAAAGACCATATATTACGTCAAGTTCACTAGCTGTTTACACACCAACTATCGTTGACGAAACTTGAAATTAACATGCCGTTAAACGGTAGTAATGATTGTTAGTTGCTCAATTATCTCGCTTAATAATATATGTGTTTTGGCTTATTTAACGATATTTGATGTGTTAAATTGTTAGTCAAAAAATTTGATGTATTAAGTAGTTTTTTACAAAATTTATAGTCTGTCTGGCATAAATGTGAAAGTTTATTTAGTAAATGACATTTTCCCCTAATATTAATATCAAAGTCTATACAATTACATACCTACCAAAAGAAATGAGTAAATTGAGGCATGTGGTTCAATGGGTTGTATAAACGGATGGGATCATTCTCTCACGTTTTATTTTTGGCTTCACCTACTTAGCCGTGAGTAAACGCAAACCCATCTTTGTTGTTTCCTTTTCTATGTCTTCCTTCCTTTGATTTTCCTTTTCTCCTAAAAAAAATGTATTTCAATGCATAATTAATTAATCACTTATACAGTTTTTTTTTTAATAATATAACAAAGTTCTCTTTTTCTTAAAGCCTCTTTTACTAAAGACTGTTTCGTAACATTCCTGTGTCGAAAGAGATGACACTTCAAAAAGTAATATTAAATGTAATCAACCAACATATTCAGTTTTTTTTTTTTAATCTCCCCTAGTAAAAAAAAAATCTTAATTAAACTCTAACTGATATACTTAAGTTCAGTTTAGCATGGATTGTTAGGACTCAGTTTTCGTAAATTTAATTCCAAATATAAAGGTAAAAAACCAAGAAGCAAGACACATCTTTATATTCATTAATATTTATAAGCTTGCGAATAAATATATATTATTATTATCACTTATCATCATCATTGGATAATGTCCAATAGGTTCATAAAGAAAAAAATTTATGTATATTTATGTTTTATATGATAAGTTTTTTTTAGTTAGGTGGAAAGCATATGAATGGTGATGTGTTATTTTTCTTTTTAGTGATTAATAAGTCTGATGTGTATTAATTATATTAATTTGATTTCTCTTAATGTTATCTTTTAAATGAGTGGTTAAAAACTCATAAATAAAAAAAATGCTGATATGTCAAGAGGAGAAACATATTTAATTTATTTTTTATTGATTTTGTTTCCACCAAACAACATCTGAAACGTAACGCCACGAGTCGCAATTCTCTCTGTCTCTCCTCTCTCTATAAAACTCGTGGCATGACACTCTGAAAAATTCACTCAACAAAGCTAACCATAAAACACTGTGTGAGTAAAACAGAGAAGAAACAACAAACAAACAAAAGATGGTGCTAAAGGTGTACGGACCTCACTTTGCTTCACCAAAGAGAGCTTTGGTAACACTGATCGAGAAGGGTGTCGCCTTCGAGACCATCCCCGTCGATCTCATGAAAGGAGAACAGAAGCAGCCTGCTTATCTCGCTCTTCAGGTTTGTCTCTATCTTCTCCGATTCCTTAACTTTTTCTTTCCCATTCTGATGGTTTCTTACTTTGATTGCAGCCTTTTGGTACTGTTCCTGCTGTTGTCGACGGTGACTACAAAATCTTCGGTATGATTTTCAAGAAACCTCAAATACTCGTTTGATTAAGAATATAAGCTCTGTTTTTTGTATTTGTGTAGAAGATGTTGTGTGGTTCTTGTTTTGTTGGGGTTTGTATGTATATCTATGGAGATGTTGTTGAAAGATGGTTGTCTTTGAAATTTGTGACAGAGTCGCGTGCGGTGATGAGGTACGTAGCAGAGAAGTACAGGTCACAAGGACCTGACCTTTTGGGGAAAACAGTAGAAGACAGAGGTCAAGTTGAGCAATGGCTTGACGTGGAAGCGACCACTTACTACCCACCTCTACTGAACCTGACGCTGCATGTAATGTTCGCATCAGTTATGGGATTCCCATCTGATGAGAAAGTGATCAAGGAGAGCGAAGAGAAGCTCGCGGCTGTTCTTGATGTCTACGAGGCACATCTCTCAAAGAGCAAGTACTTGGCCGGTGATTTCGTGAGCTTGGCTGATTTGGCTCACCTCCCATTCACTGATTACTTGGTTGGTCCGATTGGGAAGGCTTACATGATCAAAGATAGGAAGCACGTGAGTGCTTGGTGGGATGATATTAGCAACCGTCCTGCGTGGAAGGAGACTCTTGCCAAGTTTTCACTCCCGGGTTAAGGATGATTTCTTCTTGTGTGTTTGCTTGTGTGTTTTATTTGAGGTTTAATAAAAGTGGAACTCTCCATATATATGCCTCTTTATGTAATGTTAATTCCTCTGTGTTCTCTTTCCCTTGTGTAATTTAATAAGTATTCGAGTTGACTCCTTTGTGAGGCTATTGAGGAAATGAACTGATCCTTAATTAGTTTTACTTTCGGATAATATATCTCACGTTTATGTGGGGCAAAGATATTTCTATCTAATAGTTTAGATGTTTGTATGTTTATATGCAAAAAAAAAAAAAAAAAAAAAACATATGTTTTTCAACACTTAGATGACATGAGTTAATATGTGTTAAAACTTCATTTGATAATTAGGGAGTGAATCTGTGAATACATGACTATGGTTTAGTATTTGGATCGATCGTCGATGATGATTCATTCATTAGTTCATAAGTTGGATGTAAAGGAGTGTGTTATTTGATTCTTCGACCAACTTGACATGAAAACGTTTTATTCATGATCCATGACCACTTTTTTGTTTTTGTTAACGGAATAGATTGACGTTGGTTATTGACGGTTAAGATTGGTTTATGTTTAGTTTCATATCCACGGCATATTCCAAATAAGGTTCGCATATTAAGAGGTAGTTTCTAGTTCTGTAATAGAGGAATAAGAACTATTTCTTAACAAATCTTAAGCTAAGATTTGCTTAATGATGGTATAAGGGCAACACTATTGCAAGCATCTTAAAACTGAAAATGGAAAATCACAGTGTTCTGTAAAATCCACATTTTCAGTTTTAAGATGCCTGCAATAATGTTGGTTTAAGGGCATTATCAATGGGGGTATCTTATATAAGGATTTTTTTTGAAAAAGTAGGGGTATCTTATCGTTCTAAGATACCCCCATTGAGCATGGTCTAAGACTCTTGAAATTAGTTAGAACGTGCTATATTTCAGTTGGTAGTTGAGAGTCAGCTTGTATAATAATCATTCTAAGACCAACATTATCAATGGGATCTTAGCCTCTAAGATCCCACCAATAATGTTGCCCTAAGACACAAAAATTTATCGACATTTGTTTCCCTTTACATTGCTACCATTGAAATAAATTTGCGATATGGTTTGAACAAAAATACTCATGCGGACTTAAAATTTTGGGCTTCGGCGTTTTTGTAATTTGTATCATATAATCCAGAAAATTAGTTTTTTTTTTTTGTAATATTCTCAATAAGCTTTATTGGTCTTTTGGGGTCCTCCACTCCACTGATCGTTTATAAAACTATAAAGTATAAACTCTATAATGCAAAAGTGCTATTCTTTGGGTAAATCAATCACACTAGTTTTTGTTTTAAGGCATCTAAATAAAATAATCGAGTATTGTTGTTTACCAAAAAAAAATTAAGTATTGTTATCTTTTTGTTCAAATTAAGTATTGTTAGTCTGTCAGAATACACAAATAAAATATAAACAAAAATAATTGGGCTGATTCCGATCATGTTTTATTATTTTTATACTTTCTTGCACCCACCAACCTGATTCTCCCAAAATCATTAAGGGTGTATTGAATTAAGGATATTGTAGAATTTGAATGAGGTTTAAGATATTTTGTTTTGGTGGTATTGTTAGATGTTTTATTTTAAAAAATTAGAAAAATAATCTGTGATTTGGTAAGATTTTTTATAGAAAATTCTACAAAAGCCTTCAAAATCTTTAATTCGATACATCGATACACCCCCTAGGCCCCTAAATAAATTGGGTTAATTTGCTGTTGAAAAGTCAAGAAAAATATAAATAACAAGTGGTCTCTTTTAATATTGAAAAATAAAAAAAACACTAATCAAATAGAAATTTGCCGTTGAAAGTCAAGAAAAGACGTGAAACAATGCCGCCACGGCGCGACACATGTTAATAAGCGCGATTGCGTTTACCACAACGACCGCAAACGCAGCTAACCATATTCTTTTTTTCTTTCTCTTCTATAAAAAGTCGCGTCCTGATTATAATCAAAGAAGTAAGAAAGAAAGAAAGAAAAAAAAAAATGGTGTTGAAGATCTATGCTCCTTTATTCGCTTCTTCGAAACGAGCAGTGGTGACACTTATAGAGAAGGGTGTATCCTTCGAAACTGTCCATGTCGATCTCATGAAAGGAGAACAGCGAAATCCTGAGTATCTTGCTATTCAGGTTTGTTTTTTTTAATCTCTTTTTTTGTTTTCTTTCTCCGGCGATTGTTTCCGATGTTGATGTTTCCGGTCGTTGCAGCCTTTCGGTAAAATCCCTGTGCTCGTCGATGGAGACTACAAAATCTTCGGTACACCTTCTTCTTCTCCTTATACTCCTGCTGCCATCAACTAGATTACTACCGGTGAATCTGATCATGATCCATGAATCTGAAATTTTTTTTTTATTTTCAACATCGAGATCAGAACTGAATGCTAAGAGATTGTTATGTCAATACTGTAGTGGATTGTTTGATTGTGCAAGAATCCTCCATTAAAGCTTTAAACTTTAGTTTCAGATCTCACTTTAAATCATCAGCAATGAATGAAACATTAAACATATGGTGTTAAGTATTACTTTTGTGTTGCAGAGTCGCGTGCGATCATGAGGTACATAGCAGAGAAGTACAGATCACAAGGACCTGATCTCTTAGGGAAGACAATTGAAGAGAGAGGACAAGTAGAACAATGGCTTGACGTTGAGGCAACTAGCTACCACCCACCACTATTAGCTTTAACGCTCAACATTGTCTTTGCACCTCTCATGGGCTTTCCTGCTGACGAGAAAGTTATTAAGGAGAGTGAAGAGAAGCTTGGAGAAGTTCTTGATGTCTATGAAGCTCAGCTTTCCAAGAACGAGTACTTGGCTGGTGATTTTGTGAGTCTAGCTGATTTAGCTCACCTTCCCTTCACTGAGTATCTCGTTAACCAGATCGGCAAGGCTTATATGATCAAAGATAGGAAGCATGTTAGCGCCTGGTGGGATAAGATTAGTAGCCGTGCTGCCTGGAAGGAGGTTTCTGAGAAGTACGCGTTACCTGTTTAATCAAGGAGGGTGTGGTTCTCGTGTTGACTTGTGGTTTGTGAGAGCTCTGAGTCATGTTGAGGGAGCTCCGTTTTGGTTCCATTGTCTTCTGGTTTCAATAATAAACGGAACTCTGCCTCGTTTGTATGTTGTTTCTGGTTTCTTGTATTTTGTAATCACTCAAGCTTTTAATAAGACTTTAAGAATCAGATAGATGTGGATACTGCATTTATATGAATACTGGTTTATACGAATCCAAAAGCAAAAACATCATTCACAAGTCAAGGTTTAACACACATCTCTCTGTTCTTTCATGTTATAACAAAGGGGGACAAAAGAAACCTTCCCTAGTCAGTCAGACAAACTCAAGAGCTGCTGATACATAAGACAACTCTTGACGGTACAAGAAAACCAAAAAGCCAAATTCTTTTTTGTTGTTAGAACAATCAGCTCTCCAAACATTAACCAGAACATCAATAGTATATTAAAATGTACGAAGAGCTACCAAGAATATATCAAGGCTGATGATGAAAAGATTCCGAAGGCGGATCATTGCGTGGAACATTAAGTTCAGGAGTCACTACAGGGATATCCATGCTGTTTCTATTGTCCCGATCAGTCTCTGCGGATATTTCTCTTACATCAGAAACTCTTGCCTCTGTTGCCTGAATATCATTCCATTCGTTTTCCCCAACCGGAGGCTGAGCACTTACCACCTGCTCTTCACTCATATGGACAACACTCTCTCCCGGTATAGAGGCTGTTCTTGAAATGCTCAGACATGCTTTATCCACATCCTTTTCTGTTTCCTTTGTCATTGGAAGAGATGCTTCGCCGTTAGTAGACTCGGTCTTCTCCTCACACACTTGCTTCGTCTCTAGTTGCTGCCTGTTTATGCAAAGATAAAAGAGATTTATTACACTTCAAATAATGAGTTCCCATGGGAGATATATTCAGATAAGCCAACCTTTGAAGCTGAGTTTGTAACATATTCACATATGCTAAAAGCTCTTGCTTCTCTGTCCAAGCAGCTGTCTCTCTCTGAGAAGCTTCCTTTGCTTTTGCTTCACAACTTGCTTCTGCAACTCTGACTTTCTCTTCGGCTCTCACAACAGCTCCTTCAAGTATGACGACACGCTCTCTGGCTTTTCCAAGCTCAGATCGCCACATATGTGCCTCTTGGAAAGCAGAGTCTCTTTCCTTAACCAATTGATCTTTTTCCTTACTCAGAGTCGATGTCTTCTCTTCCAATTCCTTAAGCTACATAGGACATAAAGATCAATAAACAACAAGATATACTTCAGGATGCAAAAGTATCTGTATATGACACAGCCTCATTACCTTCAGTTTCACAGCTTCTTGCTGTCTCTCGGAATCTTTAGTCACGCGCTCAAATTCCAAGCAAACTATTTTCCTTTGTTCATCCATTGTATGAGCTGCAGATGCTGCAGCTACAGCTGCTTCGGCTGTCTCAGATAGCTTATCTGCTATCTCCTTTATCATTGAGTCACGAGAGCGAAGTTCTCGCGCCAAATTCTGTAATTCTTCATCTTTGACACGCAGAGTTTCCTGTAAGATGTAAGAGACTCAATAAGGCTAACTTGGACAGAAATAGAATAAAGATGGATGGTATACGTTATGCTAATTCTGGAAATCTTCACCCTTGACACGCAAAGTTTCCTCTAACATGTCTCTACATATGCTTTACATAGCTCAACAAGACATTACAGGATCTCAAGAGCCAATGAATGTGAATGCAATAAATGTTTCCTAAAGTCATGGTGAAAGAGATATACAGACTACCACACCTTCATTATTGTCAAATCATCTAGAGGTCCATCGAGCGGTTTATTTGCCGTTATTTTCAGAGCATTCCTCAAAGAGATCTGCATTGCTGCTTGAATTTCTCTAGAACATTCCAATGCTGTTGAATTGGCAGCAGCAACAACGGTTGCAACGGTACCAAGTGTTGCAGAACCACTTCCGCTTAGAGATTCTACAGCTTCCTTATGGGCCTTTAGGACTAGCTGTGTCGCACTGGAATGAAAAAAATGAAAGACAACGTTAAGCATATTAACTATTGAGGGGGCATTCAGAAGGTATAACATCTTCAGAAATTATAAAACGTAAAAGACGCAGACAGAGAGATGATTCTTTCGACATGGTCTATGATGAAACCATTACATCAACAAAACTTTATCATTCAAGATAGATGAAATAAGCACGGTGGCTTCTCTATAGTTTGGTAAGCAACTAAAAGGGACAGAAAGAGAAGCAAAAAAAGAGAGATCAAGATTCAGATGACTCACTGTAAGGTTGTGACCCAAGCTTTAGCTGCACCAGGAGTCTCTGCACACAGAAAGTAATCTTTCTTCTGTGGAGTACCAATATCTTTTATCATGTTGAAGAAAACTCAACTCTAGATTCCAATAAACTATCCCCTTATAGACAAAAGCCAGAATTATAAAACTACCAAACGCCACATTTTCTAGAACAAGGATACAGATACAGCAACCATTATATTTTGGAAGCCCCCTGAAACACAAAAGAAACAAATTCAATAATATGAATATGCACCTAACAAGGCTGATTATTCAGAGCAACATAAAAAATAATGTAGCATCCATACTGAAAGTTGACAGGAGAGATGCTTATTGTGCTATTTTCGTCAAACACAATTGTTCCCTTGATAGTTGGTTCGTTTCGTCTTGTCCTGCGCCATGAGAATACATCCATAAAGTGATGATCTCCACAAAATGCAGCTATATAGGAAAATTGATATAACTCACTTATAATCCATTTTCCCAGTTGTTGGATCAAGAATCACCCATCTTTCGTTCCATTTTCTCAGCTAATCATTCATAAAACAGAAACAAAAGATGGTCATCAAGTGTGAGCCTTTTAATAACCCAAGACATTACAAGCCACAGGACTTGTCAAACCACTTAAGCTATAGAACACTACAGGCAAGAAAGTTTCAAAAGAAACCCAATCAATAAAGCAATCAGACTTTGATCATTTCACTCAAAATGAAGTTAGAGATCACAGTCAAAAGAATTGAACTTACAGTTTCAGATCGCTTGAAAAGCGGACCTTGTAGCAAGTTCCGACCAGAGCCAGATGCCAGTTGCCGCTTGATCTTATCCAAGCTGTTCTCTGTAGCATCAACGATTCTCTGCGCATTTGGAATAAAAGAATCGAAATTTCCGAAATGGGTCAATTTAAGACTGTAAAGTGCAAACCCAGCCAAAAGAAGAGACTAAATTGTAGAGCAAGCAGAGATCGAGAGAGAGAGAGAGAAAGAGACCGGAGAAGCGCCGTTGGAAGCCATGTTAATTGGGATCGGCGAGATCGCGAAACTATTTGATCGATTAAAAATAAAAAACTGTTGATCGATGAATTCGAGGAAAGGGTTTAGAGGTGTTTTTGGTTTAGGTATGTATGATGAGCTGAAGAAGAATGATGAAGGAATTTGAGAATTTGCTGTTAGGTTTGGTTTCGCGGAATTGCAGTTGAATCTGTCTTCACTCTTTCAACGCGATCAATTCTACTTAACCGGCCGGTACGTATTGAACCAGCTGACATAACCGGTTCTTGAACTTGAAGTTCTTTTTTTTATCAAACGAACTTGAAGTTCTTTTTTAATTTTTTCTATGGTTCTCTTCATTTCTATGGGTTGTTTTGTTCCTATTGTTGTTGTTGATGTTTGGATTAGAGATTAAAAACTTAAATAGAGTGGAAATGCTAATTGAGAATTTAAATGCTACTTCATTTGAAAGAAGATACTAATTTATAGGCATGACCATGGTTACGATTAATGCATTTATGGTTAATTAACCACCGTTTAACGGTTATAATTTTTTTGCAAGATAGTGACATAGTTGCATACCAGATTCACCGTAGCTTAGACGCGTACTAGCCTGACTTAGTTCACATAAAATTAAAACACATTGCGCTATGGTTTAGTAATGTTTGACAAGTCTACGATTTTCTCCTAATTTAGAAACAACCGCGCTATTGATAATCGTGTAGGAGTAACATGAATAAGTGAATTTGATTCGGGCCGGGGATGGTCGAGACTCGAGACACAGCTTATTGTGGAGGGAGCGGAGAAAAGGATTGAAAGCATCAAGGGTAAAGAGTAGTAGACATGTAAGCCAAGACAAAGATCCATTTTTGTTGTTGACTGAAGTGGGAAGCCTGCAAAACATGAAGTGGTCCTCTTGCTTTACTATGCGTAATTATTCCTTTTTGTATGAATTTTAGTCATTTGTTTTTCACTTCAAGTTCTATGACATTCTCATCGACTGAGGGCATATATTTCCTAAGAGTGAAACGTCTTAAAACTCTAGGATTAGTCAAATCAATATTTTCTGTTGGCCTTATATTAAAGAAATCGAAAACAAGAAAAAAGTTCTACTATATTCTACTAACAAAATTTGTTATTCTCTAAAGGATTCATGTTTTGAAAAGAGAAATATATAACCATGTGGTCACTATTCTATACCTTCCATATGGAAATCATGATGTTTGTTGACAGTAACACATTATTGTTAGTGGTCTTTGAGTAGTGCAACCTGCCATGACTCACTTTACATTACAACACTAATTCTGACATTGTTCCACAAAACATAATAAAAAGTCCAATGAAATCATACTTTTGGATGAATCTGAACTCAAGGAATTTTCAGTTTTACTTTCTTTCTCTTTTTTTTTTTTCCAATAAAAACCAAAAGTGATGTAGAATAGTGACATCCACTAGAATGTACATATATGTATATTGTGTTTTTTTTTTAACATTCACTAAATTCAATCCTCTATTTATAGTTATATATTAAGATATAAATACATCATTGTTGAAATCTAATTAGGATTTGACGAAAACAAGAAGTTCTCTTTATATCAAATCAATTAGACTTAACCACAATTGAGTAACTTAAAGTTTATATTGCCCATTCCTCAACTTGCTTTTTTTTCTCCATTTTAATTCAGACATACTGAAAATATATTAAACCATCAACCTCCATGCAAATCCATATTATATTACAAAGTTGCGCACTTAGAATTTCATCACATTTTTTTACACTCTAAAAGCAAAATTCTGAACTCCACTTTTTCTTCTCTCTTCTTCTATAGCTAGGAATAAACTAGTGGATCAAGTTCCATATCCTCATCTTTCTTCACCCACACACATACACTTTTAACACTTATATTTATGAAATGAACTCATAAACTAATTGATTATCATCAGTCCTAAACTATGTATCTTTTGTTTCCAATTCAAACCACATGAAATCATGGAGATACATCATCACCACCTCTTCGTCTCTCTCCTCCTTCTCCTTCTTCCCCTAAGCTCCTCCCAAGAAAACACCAGAAGCTTGGTCATTGATGTCAATGGTCCAGTCGAAACTTCTCCTATCTCCGAGGTTAGTATGCTCTTCTTTCCTTTTCTCTATCGCTCATCACCACAATGATAATCTTATTATCTCAAACTCTTCACAAACTCATTAATTTAGCTCATATCTTTTTTCATCGAATCTTCAAGCATTCCCTGTGTAACTGAACTTATAATCGTCATTAGCATGCATATATGTGTGTATAATAGATATATATATATACATGAAACCATGATGAACCCTTGAATCATCTGAAAAGAGATGTAATGCATTCATATAAATGATTAAGGATATATAATTAACCAGAAAAATATTAACAGATATAATTTTTCTCTTTAAAATATGTTCATGTTAATTACTTTAAGCAAAAACTCAATTTGTGTTATTTTTGTTTCTTATTGCAACACAGAAACTGAATCCAAAGCTTGTGTACGAAATAAAAGTGCATGGGTTTATGCTTTGGGCATCGATGGGTGTTTTGATGCCAATTGGTATAATCTCCATCAGATTAATTACTATCAAAGACCAACCTATTATCACTCTTCGACGACTCTTCTGGATCCATGTCACTTCTCAGGCAGGTTTCATTTTCTTTTGGCTCTCTTTATTTTTTTTTATTTTTTAAAAATATATCAAATACTACCATTGTTTCAACGAACTAAATCATAAGCAAATTGAAAATGTTATTTGCATAAGTTGAAAATGAAATTTTAATGGTCGGTGGTGCGAGTGTCAAATGTGGATGGGTGGATAGAGAGTTAAAGCAAAGATGCTTCTTTCTTCATCTAAAAAGAATAAAGTCCAATTAACGACTTTTTTATGATTATTAATTAGTAATTAGTAGGGCCTTTTTGGTTATTCTAGATTGTTAATCACACTAATAATCATGGAAACTTGAAAGCCAAGCTAAAGCGTCTACCTTCTTCTTCTTTTTAGCTTTAATGTCAATGTCTTCTTAATCTTTATTAGTTCTTTCTTACTTTCTCTTTCTCTCTTTCTGTGATACTTAACTAAGAAACCACACCTACTAGTCTTACAAAACATTATTTTGATGATTATAACAAGTATTGGATTATTAATCAACAACAATCACTTTTAACTATATTGTTGTTGATTACTTGGAATATTATAAGCGAGCAAGTAACAATGTGATGAACTTATCAAACAGATGGTTGCAGTGATACTTGTTACAATAGGAGCAATAATGTCTGTAAAAAACTTCAACAATTCCTTCAATAACCATCACCAACGGCTAGGAATTGGACTTTACATCATTGTATGGTTCCAAGCTCTTCTTGGCTTCCTCCGACCTTCAAGGTGCGTACTTCTATTTTTTTCTCTTCAATTTTTTTTTTTTTTTTTGGTGAAAGAATTAAGATAGCTTAAGATTAGCAAGAACCAAATGTTTATATAGCATTCATCTTTAACTGATTTTACTAAACATCTATTGCAGGGGAGGAAAAGCTAGAAGGAAGTGGTTTGTAGGACACTGGATATTAGGAACATCGATTGCTATTCTTGGGGTAATAAACATTTACACAGGGTTACACGCTTACAGCAAGAAGACATCAAGAAGTGTCAAGCTTTGGACCATACTCTTCACGGCACAACTCTCTTCTATTGTCTTGTTTTATCTTTTCCAAGACAAGTGGTCTTATATCCAAAGCCAAACTACCTTCAACAGAAATCAATCCGTTGATCATAACAGCAACATCTCAACCGCAGAGGCTGGCCATGTAGACGGGGTTGATGAAGAGACTAAACAAAGCTATTAGTAAATTGTTTTCTTATCTTGAGATATTGTTTTCCAAGAGACAAAAAAGGGTTGCAAAGGCATATGAATTGATTTGTAGTGGTAATGATCATTTGACTAACTTTCGAGTTTCTTTCTTCTAACGGTTAAACACTAACCAAATTTCAATTATCGTTCTAAGCGTTAGACTCTATAGTCAAATCCATTTTTAGGGGGAGTTATTGGGAGAATGATTTTTAAAGATGGTTAGAATATAAGATTCTATTGTTATTGGTTTATGGATTCTTAAATTCTTAATAAAGTCTTTTGTTATTGGTGTATTGATTTTGTAATTTCATTTAAAATCCTTTGTTATTCAAAAAGCTGAGTACTTATTGATTTTACAATTCTATTAAACTCTAATGTTATTGGGAATATGATTTCCTACATATTTGGTCATTAACAACAACTTTCAAAATACTGCACTTAGCCTAAGTATTTGTAAAATCTATCATATTAAGAATCTACTAAACTCTAAAAAAACTTAGTAAACATTAGAATCTACAAAAATCTTTGAGAATTTTAAAATCTCTAAAACTTTTGAAATCCACAAACTCTTTTAGATTCAACCTTCCAATAACCCCTAGTTAAAACTTGGTTACTACAGTGTAAATTTGTAAAATCAAATTACAATAACTATTATTTAATTCATTTTTCTGTTATTTGTGATTATATATATATATAATATCTATATTAATTATATATATGATATATCCCCCATTTTAATTATAATTTATTATTTTTAGCTCTCTCAAGAAATATATATTTCTTAAGAAACTAAGAGTAAGTGGTAGGAAAAAAAAATCTTGATAATTAAAGTTTGATGTTGGATTGAAATCAGACCACATGTACACATTAACAATAAGTTTATTGCATAGTAATTAACCTACAGTATAATATAATAAATACAAAGATATAAATTTCCAAATCCATTAATTAGTACTAAAAAAAACTTCCACATATATAAAGATCTCCAACGTAAAAATGGAAACTGATCCATCTCCTTTCCTCATTAATGAAGATTCTAATGTTTAATTTACCTATTAAGTTGGCATAGAAAGAAAGAAAATATCTCTATTCTAATAACAAAATCAACATGTCTCTATTTACATATACCTCTCCATATCACACAAACACAATAAAAATTGTATCACACAATTCTTCCTCTTCACCAAACCAAAAACGTTGACAACTTGTGTGAGTTTTTTCAATGATGAGAGGTGATGCTTCGACCGTAATGGTCATGGTAATGGTGCTTGTGATGTTAAACCAAATAGAGAGTGCTGTTGTGAATGTTTCATCACTACCACATAGAAAGTATTGTAATATTTATATAGGAAAGTGGGTCTACGACCAAAATTACCCTCTCTATGATTCAAAGACTTGCCCTTTCATCGAGAAACAGTTTAACTGTCAATCCAATGGTCGCCCTGACACCGAGTACCTCAAGTATCGTTGGCAACCTAACGGCTGCAATATCCCCAGGTGATTCCATATTATATCTCTTCTTTATCTATGTATAACGTTTTTCCCGATTCGTATACGAATATAAGTTATTATATACTAATCTTAGGATATTTTGCAGTTATGTTCTAAGATCAATTAGCTAGCATTGTTTTGGATAATTTACATTGTTCTTCAAATCCCTTAGTGTTATTTGAGGGGATTCATATATAGGTTTCTAATAAGGAGGGTTTAATGATAAAATTGTTAATTGTCCTCTATATTTTATGCATTGGTTAGAAAGCAACCTTTAATCTAGCCAAATAATAAAAAAGCATTCATAGTAATGCTAGTGTTTCCTACCAAAAAAAAAAAGTAATGCTAGTGTTAATTTCGTTATAGCATATAGACAAACCTAATATTTGGGGTAGTGGTCAAATCAGGGCTATCGATATATAGTTGGCATAAGGACTTTGTTTTTAAAATGTACGATTCAGTAAGAATGGTCACTCTTCATTCCATTTTTTGTTGATATTAAAGATAAATGGTATGGTATGGTGCGCAGATTTAACGGCTTAGATTTTCTGGGAAGGATAATGAAAGGGAAGAAACTGATGTTTGTAGGAGATTCATTGAGTCTAAACCAATGGCAATCCCTAACGTGTTTGCTTCACAACGCCGCACCAAACATCAAATCCACCCTTACTCGTTCTCCTTCTGGCCTCTCTGTCTTCTCATTCCCTGTAACGTTTCTAATAACACATTAAACTCTTTTAATCTTCCGGTGTATATTATATAGTTCGGTTGATCAATTTGGTTTGTGATTAATCCTGGTTGGTTTCTTGTAATATATGCATGCAATGCAGGCTTACAATTCCTCAATTATGTTCTCAAGAAACGCCTTCTTGGTGGATATAGTCGGAGCCCCACCGAATCGAGTGATGAAGCTCGACTCAATCTCGAGCGGTTCGTTATGGAAAACCGCAGACGTTTTGATCTTTAACTCTTGGCATTGGTGGCTTCACACCGACAGAAAACAACCGTAAAAATCCACTATATATATATGTCCTCAAATATATCTTAGTATGGACTTAGTATATAACAAAATGTACTGACTTGGGGTTGCATGCAGATGGGATAAAATTGAGTCCGGTAATGTAACAGTTAAAGACATGGACCGATTAGTGGCGTATGAGAAAGCGATGACTACTTGGTCTAATTGGGTTGATCAAAACATTGATCCTTCCAAAACCAAAGTCTTCTTCCAAGGTGTTTCTCCGGACCATGGCCAGTAAGTTCTTTCTCTATATATAACTTTTGTTGTAACATTCGATATATACTTTCAATCAACGATAGACATCTCTAAGATAATTTGTAAGTAAATATGGATATTAATTATTACTCACAACAATATTGGAACATAATGTTACAGGGCAAACGAATGGTCGAAACAAGGTGGCAAAGGCAGTTGCATAGGAGAAACAAAGCCGGTAATGGGGTCGAAGTACCGGGCAGGACCACACCGAGCGGAGGTGGTTGTGGCCAAACTGATAAAGATGATGAAGAAGAAGGCTCGGTTAATGGACGTGACATTGATGTCTCAGCTAAGGAAAGATGGACACCCTTCAGTCTACGGGCTTGGTGGTCACAAGGCACCAGACTGCAGCCACTGGTGTCTTGCTGGAGTTCCTGATAGCTGGAACCAGCTCTTGTATCATGAGTTGCTTCGTTCTTGATGTTTTTGTTGGTTAGAGACTGTTAAAACTCTCAATTACATTATATGACCTAAACAGTTTTATTTTGGATTTCCTTTTTTATTTATTTTGTCAACCAAAACGACTAAGCTTGAAAAAGATTCATTGACTGGTTGAAACATTTATAAGAGAAGAATTTACATACTGTAAGTAATTATAACATCATCTTATCCGTTTCTAATTCAACCTATAATTTAAGTAGCAAGACCTGATAACTCGAAGTAAATTTACTTCACAAATTTGCATTTAAAATTTTGTAATTTTATAATAGTATTTCATTATCCAATTGTAACATTTTCTATAGTTTATTAATTTATAAAATTATAATAAGTCCGAAAAAATTGGAATATATTGAGATATTAATCTATCAAAAATTAAGTTTTCAATTTCTATTCGTGTTTTGGTTTGGTAGTCTTGGATTTTCTGGTTATTCAATAATCATAATCAAAATCATATTAAAATCTAATTTAGTATAATTTGATTTTGTTGGGGTTCTAATAATTTTTTTGCTCGGTCGCAAAAGGTCGGTCGGAAATTTTTATTTTCTTCAAGAAAAGTTTTTAAAATTTGGGCTAAGGAAAAATAAAAAATTCGTTTTGGTTAGGCCTGGGCATTCGGTTAACCATTCGGTTTCGGTTCGGTTGTGTTTGGTTTCGGTTAGTATGGATATAGTAATATAATAACCATTCGGATATTTTAGAAATTTTGGTTCGGTTCGGTTCGGTTAGTCTTTGGTTCGGTTCGGTTGTTAACCGAATTAACCGATAATTCCTGTAAATTCAAACTCATCTTGCTAACGTTAAAAATCTTAAATTATAACACCAAGTGAGTAAAAGGGAAAGAAACGATACATCCAAGTCTAACTACGAACTAAGTTGAGATAAGAGAAGAAGGACATAGTTCTAAGTTTGAAAAACAAAACAAAAGAAAATCTAAGTTTAAGCCGAGATAAGAGTGAGAGAAAAGTAAAACAAAGTTGATCGGACCAAAGCTTTGCCATTCCCATGAAATAAAGATTGTTGAGTCCTATTGTATCCTCCAAAGCAAGTAACCAAACATCTATTCAATTGAACATATAAGGTAAACATATAATCATATATCATATGTATAGATTCGGTTTTTTCGGGTTTATTTTGGTTATCGGTTAGTAACCGAAACCGAACCGAACCCGAATTTTGAGACTTATAATAACCAATCGGTTATTTGAAGATAACCGAAACCGAACCGAAACCGAACTGATTCGGTTAATCGGTTCGGTTAATCGGTTATTGGTTATTTTGGCCAGGCCTAGTTTTGGTCATAAGACTTTGGCTTTTAGAGTAAATAACAAACAAACAAAAAAACATCTCTCTCTCTCTCTTTCACTTCACGTCTGCGAGTGTTCGTCGTCTCCTTCCGGATCTCAATCGGCGTTTCACCGATCTCGCCATTCATTCTCCGTCGATCTACTCACCGTTAAGATTCTGGAGATGTCGATTTGAGAGAAAAGACTGTCTCAAAGGTTAGATTTACAACACATTCTCCGCCAGAAATTTGTTTTGTGGAGGAAAAGGATCATGGCTGCTGTCGATGTTCATCGTTTCGCTGAGTCAATCACTTGCCATGCTTGGAGTCCTGATTACTCCAGTAAGTTTCTAACTCTTTGATTCTAGGATGCTCTTGCTTGCTTCTCTGGTCTTTGGGAAGATGAGATAGGAGTTATGGATAGCAGAAACTAGAGATTCAGATCATGCTTTCAATTCAGAAAATTTGAGATTTTTTTTATAACTTGTCACTTCTTGTGAATCAAATGAGTTGTAATTCCTTGGAATTGACTATTGAGGATGGATTCTGGGGTCAATGTTATATATGCCTCTTGTGTTTATCTCTGGGTGTCTCTTACTTAATGTAGGAATCAGGAGCTTAATTGAATTGGTTTATACATCATTTATAGGTATATAAAAATAGATTCTTTCATATACATTCTTAGTATTGAAGATTTCAGAGAGATGCTAGGTAGTGTTAGGAACAGTTGGTATCTAGTATCATTGATGAGTTTTCTAAACGAATGAACCGATTTTCTTGTTACCTAATCATTTATTTGCTGTGACATATGTTTTTTGTAGTGGTTGCTCTCTGTCCTAACAATACTGAAGTTCATATCTATAAATCGTTATCTCAAGACCAGTGGGAGAGGTTACATGTCCTCCAAAAGGTGGAACTTTCTATTTCTCTCTCTCTATCTAAAACTAATGAACTTGCACTCCTTTTCCTTTCTCTTCTTGGGAATTCTTTACTTTCATATATTTACGTATTCTCATTTTACTGATCACTTGTTCTATTGCCAGCTTCATGATTATTGTTTGAATTGTTGCAGCATGACCAAATTGTTTCTGGAATAGATTGGAGCTCAAAGTCCAACAAAATCGTCACTGTTTCTCATGACAGAAACTCGTAAGTTGCAACCTTTGATATATTTTGAGTAGATTGTGCATTTGGGTAACCTTGCACTTCGCTTAATGCTGTGAGAAACTCCAAACCTGTTATTCTTACTTCTTCACTGTTTAGTTTGTGTAACCTAGTTTGAAATGCTTTTTGAAGTTATGTGTGGAGCCTTGAAGGAGGTGAATGGGTACCAACACTTGTTATTCTTAGACTAAATCGTGCTGCACTTTGTGTCCAATGGAGTCCAAAAGGTAAATGTATCAGATCCTAAAATTTCTGAGTTTTAAGTTTAATTACCTATGTAATATGTAATGTACTTTTGCTTATAATTTGTATACCTTCTAATATATGGTTCCCATCTTTTTGTTCAATATCCTTAGAGAACAAGTTTGCTGTTGGAAGTGGTGCTAAAACAGTTTGTATTTGCTATTATGAGCAAGAGAATAACTGGTAATATCTTCTTCTGCTCCTAATATCAGTATTAGTCATGGATATTCATTCATTGGCATGCCACCTGAATTTTTTGCTATGAATGGTGTCGTTGGTTTAAGAAAATGGTATTATCTTGTGTTATGTACTGCATGTTATTAAAACCAATTATTTTTGTTATCTTGGCATGCATAACTGTGAATTGTGCAGAGATTTTGCCAGGATCTGCAATATGTGCAATCCTCACAAAGTACATTTTTAGTTCCATGTAAAGTTTGCTATTCTGGTAGGCTGACGTTATTTGGCTTAACTGTTCTCAGGTGGGTCAGTAAACTTATTCGAAAAAGGCACGAATCTTCAGTCACATCTGTTGCTTGGCATCCTAATAATGTGCGTACAATCAACACAACCTCTTGTACTTCATGTAGCCAAAATGTTATGTAGGCACCGTACATGCTTTCTCTATCAAAACATTTTATAAGTTAGCCACTGGATAGAGAATAGAGTATATGATCCCTAAGATAGAATATCAATCTTCACATACTAGTCAATCTTCTAAATCATTGTATCTGGTATGCTTATCATGTTGCTGTGTTCTCTGATTGTCTGTTTTGCGTTAGGTTCTTCTGGCAACGACATCTACGGATGGAAAATGTCGGGTATTTTCAACATTCATCAAAGGAGTTGATACAAAGTATGCTCATTAGTTGAACATCTACTTTTAAAACATTTTTTCAAACATGGGGGGTTCCTTATTTGTCTTCACGCAATTGGTTCATACAGGGATTCAAAAGCAGGCTCACCGGCAGAAGCTAAATTTGGGGAGGTTTGATCCGTTTGGCAGTCTTTCCTTGTAGTAAATATTGTGATGCTTATGCCTTATATCTACTCTCTGTACTCTCGCATCTAATGTTACAGAGTTTTTTTCTGTTGTATATACGTTGAAACAGCAAATTCTACAGCTTGATCTCTCTTATTCCTGGGCGTTTGGTGTGAAATGGTCTCCTAGTGGAAACACCTTGGCTTATGTAGGTCAGAATTTTAAAACTTGAGATGTTTGTCCATTGCACTACTCTACTGGAATTATACAAAAAAATTTCAACTTGGTTGCATAATTTTTACTGCTGTCTCACTTCCCTAGTTTCTATAATCTTGTCTAGGTCATAGCTCCATGATATACTTTGTTGATGATGTTGGTCCTTCTCCTTTAGCTCAAAGCGTTGCATTCCGAGATTTGCCTCTTCGTGATGTGGGTCAGCATCCACTCTTCTTTTACTTTTGGGAAACTGGTCTTCTTCTTGTGTGTCCTGAATTGATATATTATTGTCAACTTGCTATTTCAGGTTCTCTTTATTTCTGAGAAAATGGTGATAGGCGTTGGATATGACAGCAATCCAATGGTATTTGCCGCAGATGATACCGGAATATGGTGTGTATCTCTCAGAATTATCTGCTTGTGTATCTCTTAGCTCTTTGCATACTATCAAATCCTTCAATTCCTTAACTCTTCTTAGATCGTAGGCCAGATAGTTAGTTCTGAAATGATCCACACAGTGACACAGCGATGATTGCCTCGTTTACAAGTTTTTGTTTTGGTTGTAGGAGCTTTATTAGGTACATCGGAGAGAAGAAAGCAGCATCTTCGAATTCCAGTTACAGTTCGCAGGTACGTACCAAAGTTTATTTCTTTTATTTGTTGCTAATATGTCTGGTTTTAGCTACAAGTAGAAAATATGATTTGAACTTCAGCTTATCCCTCAACCGTTCCTCTGAGATAGTAGTATTTCGGGTTAAGTGTAGTTGCTCTTTTTTCTTAGATTGACGAGGTTTCGCTTGTATTATTTTGTGGTGTTATATGTCTGAACCATCTGTTCATTATGTTATGTTTTTAGTTTTCTGAAGCATTTGGGAAATTCTATGGTAGTCAATCAAAGTCTGCAACAGCCAACGATGCATCTGAATCACGTGGACGCGTTCATGATAACTGCATAAAGTAAAATGTCTCTTTAAAGTGTCCTAATTATTTCTTCAGTCCATTGAATGTTAAGAGCCTGATGCACAAATTTTCCTGAAACTTGCAGTTCCATTGTGCCTCTGAGCAAAGCAGGGGGTCCCAAAGTAATGCGATTCAGCACTTCAGGTCAGTCACTAATTTTAAATGGAATCAGCCAATTCAATTCTCACAAAACAAATCAGCAGTTTCATTTTACTTTCATATCCGTTTGTTATTATAGGATTGGATGGCAAAATAGCCATATGGGATTTGGAGAACATGGAACAAGAACTTGGTAATCAGTTTTAATAAACACAAATAAAACAAATCTGGATCATAAGCAAGGCTTTACGTAATTTGTATATCAGATTTTTTTTGGACAAAATGCTAGCCATTTTAACCTTTTCCAGTTTCATAATTGTTTCACTTTGTAAGGGTAAAGAAGGGCATGTCTTAGTAAGTTTTGAGCTATGTTCTTCACCTTTGGATCTTTGTAACATGTTGATTGCTATATGATTTGATTCGTTATATACACGTTACCTTTTCAGCTTGTGTCAAATCGAGTCTATAGTATAATAAAAACACGTAAAGATAAGTTTTTGTCGTCCGAGTATATATTCCCACAGAAATGTGCTCTAAATATCAACAAACTGAACCAAATCTTCTAGTTTCAGATGATATGAAGTATCAGGAAGAGCAATATCTGCCGATGCGAAACAAACAAAACTAACATTTGGAATGTTCCCCTAACCATTATTGTAAGTTTAACTACTGCCCTGTGTCGTAAGCATAAACTAGATATGTAACTGAGAAGCAGATTTGCAGAGAAACACACAACTCGAACGATTGATTATATGTCTCCAAGATCACTCGTTTTCGTCCCATAAGCGATGTAATTGACACTAATATCGTCTGACAATAACCATCGCCCTGTTATCGGGTTGAACACAAATCCAGCCATCTCTTTCACCTGCAATCCATAGTTTTCCTGGTTATCATTACTACCACAATGCATCAACCAAACAAATGAACAATCCTTCTCTCTTGATATTATTACTTGTCCATATCGAGACATGTGCACTTTTGTATTGTTTGAGTCAGCTTAATATTGGTAAATGAGATTGACATAAGCATTATAGAATGTGAAGGGATTGCCTTACATCGACTGAAGCACGTCGTAATATCATACTAACTTCTTCAGGAGTTAGAAAACTTGACCACTGGTGTGTGCCTTTAGGAAGCTGCAGGTGAATTGTTATACAAAGACCACATGTGAAACCAGTAACACAAATGGAGCTAACAGAAGATAAAGAAGTGGAAAACTGAAGATTTACCCAACGTAGAATGTACTCTGCTGCAACAATGGCTGATGCATATGCTCGCATAGAGCGATTGATTGTAGAAACTAAGGTGGCCCCATTAGGGATGCTCAATGCTGACAACGACTTGCAAAATTCTGCAGGGTTCGCTACATGCTCAATGACCTTCATTGTACAAAATCAAATGGCTTGTCATAATAAATAAAATTGGAAGCGAGAGAAATGGAAAGATAAATACCAAGTAAGTTTCAAAAAGGGAAAGGTCCATGATGAAAGTTTAGATGAACCAGAAAAAAGTACCTCTAAGGCAAGAACAGCATCAAACGTCCTCCCTTCATCCACTAGCTTTTCTGCGCTAGAAAAAAATATTAATTAGCACTAAAACATAGAAGAGATAACAGAAAATCAGCTTCTGTACAAGATTTCATGAAACTTTAATTGATCATCATCTAAGATTAGTAAAAAATACCTGCTGTAGTACATTGGTATTCAATCGTTGAAGTCACTGGATCCATATCCTGCAGACATATTATATTAACATATAAGAAAGAATAGAAATGAAGATAGAGAAGGGATTTCATGAACTTGAGTCCTACGCAATGATGTGAAAACGTATTCACTACATTTCAAGTATTCTGAAAGCTGCCAACATTAACTCTGCCAATTTTGAAAGAACTGAAGTGTAGTATTCAAATAAAAAAAGGTATTCAAGAAAACTACACCATAAGGAATGCACAGTTGGACGTAAAAATAACAATACATCCACTGTATTATTCATCTAAATGATCAATGATACAATTAAAGTAAGAGACCTTACAGCGTGAAGACGAGCAATTTTGACATTCTTATCAACAGCATCAACTCCTGTGACAGTAGCTCCCATCCGTGCTAGAGGCTTCAAAGAAAGAAAGAAACAAGTCTCTGCTCACCAAATCTTCTTATAACTAACAACAATTTCATTCCAAGTGTAACCTCAAACGCTCAACCAACAAGCCCAAAGAAGAGGTAACAAACTCAAAACTATTTGAGTGTTATCTACTGGCTAGACCCTAGACTGGTCTCATAAAAGGAAGAAAGAAACAAAAAAAATGCCAACTACGGTACGCAGGAACTGATGAAAAAAATACCTCAGAAAGTAGTCCGCCGCCACAACCTACATCGATAAATCTCAGTCCTTCAAAAGGCCTAGCAGAACTCGGATCCTTACTGAGAAGATACAAAAAGTTAATCCAACCGAGCAAGATAGAAAGAAACCAATATTATCCACAAGAAATGAAAATGCACCTGAAATGTCTGCATAAGGTCGACCGGATGAAAGCCAATCGTGTTGGATTCAATAGATGCAACGGTTTAAAGGGTCCTTCAGAATGCCACCTTCATGTAAGAACACAGAGCAAATAAATCATGTGAACGCCCTCAAAACTCAAGAATCTATATTTTTAGAATCCATGAATACATTTCTTGAGTCAAGCTTAGTAAACTTATCATAACCTTCTAAAACATTACCTTGAATTTACACAGTCTAACCACTAAAGACAAGATTCAATTGCAAAAACTATACCAAATTGTTCCCCAAACAATGCCAACAAGAACCAATTTCAATTCAAAGGATACGAAGCAAAACTTTACTCCATTTTTTGGGTAGATATTCTAAGCATCCAAACTTTTGATCATTTCCTAGAAATTCCATTTCTGTACCCATGCATTACTATCATCCAAATTTTAAAACAGACGAGACGAACCAGGTATCAGCAATGGCAGAGAATTTGGCGAGTTCATCTTCATTCAAAGACGTTGTGGACGATGTGCTTCGGCTTTTATTGGATGTTTTGCCTTCAAGCGTTTGAATTTTCTGATGCGAAGAGGGAAGAGATGCAGCCGAAGCATCAGTATCTGAAGTTGAGAACAGCCGCTGGTGAAGTAAAATCGACGGAGGTATGATTGAGGAAGAAGATACGCGACGAGAAGAGAGAAGAAGCTTTCGCAGTTGATTCATCGGTTTCGACGCCAACATTTCGAAAGATCAGAGATGCCCTGTCAAAGACAAATCGATCGCGAGTTTTCGAAACGACGGTCGGAGTTTACTGACGTCGGATTCGCCGTCGGCGGAGTGAACGAGTGAATTTGAAGAAGAGAAAGTGAATTAAGTGCAAAATTGGAATTCTCGAAGGATGTAATCCTATTGGGCCACACATTAAACTAAATGGGTTTATCTATGGGCCTAAGGCCTATAATTCCGAGAAAGTAAATAACATAATATAGAGGATACTTTGTATTCATTTTTTGTAACTTTAGAAAGAAAAACAAAAACATGATTTATACGTTGTAAATTAGAGTTTTTGACTAATTCATTTTAAAAAAATCTTAGACTATTTTCCTACTTTTTATACTATTTCATAATTCTTCTATTATCATAATTATTTGTGTGAAAGGGTTTTTTTCTCTTAATAATTCTTCCGTATGATGATATATTATATGTTGTTAATTTATTTTAGAAAAATATTTGTGTAAGGATATAATTATTAGGATAGCAACAACGTTCTAAAGAGTAGTTGGATTTGGATATGTCTGAATCCTTTGATTTCACTTTCAGCTAAAATAGTATTTTTCCTAACAAAACAAAGGTCCCACGATCAAATGAGAAATCTCTCATTTTTATATTATATAATAATTCAAAAGATCAAATCTGATTTCATTAAAGTGTGTATATGTATCACATCGGCACATACAAAAACTAATATTATCCTAGATACACAAAATATTACCAAGTCTACCATCTTTCATGATATATACGACTCTAAATGCCCTAACACATTTTATATATACCATGTTGGATTTAATGTGTTTTTGTTGTTATTTGAATGCAAGAGACACGTTTTTATCGTCATTTACGGAAACATTGAACGTTTGAAAGTGGTTACATAGAAAGAATCCTAGAACAAAAATATCTAATAAAAGTAACTTTTATGAAAACCCACCTTTCTATATTTAATTTTAGTACCAATAACAGTTTGACATATGTTCCACCATCTTGATCATCTACTATTCAATGGTATTTCATTACACCACACTAATCACAAGATTCACACACAACTAACTAACTAATGGTGTGTGTCGTGTGTGTGTATCAACCGTGTTTGTTTACGCTTCAAACTTTGCAGCGAATATTCAAACTTTTATCTATAGAAAAAGAGAAGAAGAAGAAGAGGGTGGGGGCATTAAAGAGAGCTGTCTCATAGTTGGTAATGTCAATTAATAAGCTGGCAATACAATTCATGTAGGACAAGACAACTTCAAAACTCCAATCATGTGAATTACTATATCATACTAATAAAACCCAATCATTTCACCTTATTACAAAGATTTATATGCTTTGTTTTTTTTTTGGGTTAAAGATTGATAAGCTTTTATTATACTCTCTTATGACTTTTTGTTTTTTGTTAACTATATAAAGATTAATGAATGATATGCTAATTATAATCAAAAAAAAAAAAAAGAGTTGATGATAAAGGAAGTCACGTTTGGAGATTCTCCTATAAGTGTTTCGCTGTATGCGTTGAAACAGCCCTTCTTTAACAGCTCACTTCTTTTTTCACATTCCTAAATTCCTCTCAATCTTCTCCTTCTTCTTCTTTGCTTATACTTATTATATAACTCTCTCTCTCTCTCTCTGACAAAATATCCCAACATCAGAAAAAATGGCTGATGCTTTCTTGGAGAAGGCAACTTCTGCTCTCAGCGAAGCCAAAGAATCAGTTGCAACCACAGCTGACTCTGTCAAGGCTTCTCTCACTGACGCTGAGAAAACCGTTGCGACCTCCACAGAGACGGCAAGGAGTACTCTAACTGAAGCTGGGAGTACCGTTGCTGCCTCTGCTGAAACTGTCAAGACCGAGGCTGCAGCTGCACCTGAGAAAGTGTCTGGTGTGTCTACACAGGTTGGTCTTGGTAACATATTTTTACATGTGTTTGGTTTTTCTAATTTCCCCCCAAGAAAAAAAAAACTAAGGAAACTTAACTGTGGTTTTGATTTAGGCAAGGGATGCAGTGGACAGTGCTCTGTCAAGAGGTATAGAAGGAGCCAAATCTTTGCTTCAGACTTTTGAAGAGAAGAGGACCGAAGTATCCTCCAAGCTCGTTGGAGCTGTCTCAAATGCTGTTGGTGGAGCATCCAGCAGCACTGTGGCAAACCGAGACCTTCCCGTATCTACAGACAATCAGGTCACATATTTGAAAACAAAACTCAATTGTTCTCTAACTAGAAGATTTTGTAAATATTCATCATGTTTTTGACTATTGTATTTGTGTTCTTGCAGCCTCTGTTAGCATCTGGTGAGACAACACCATGGTGGAAGAATTGTTGTGGAGTTCTTGATCTTTTCAAGAAAGATACCACAAGTTAAAAAGATTTTAAAAAAATGACAATTTGACGAATTATTCACCAAGAAACAGAGCACTAGAAGAAGAAGAAGCAAGAACCTCCCATCCTTTTGATTATTTATTTCCTTCCTTTATGATTTTGATTTGAGATTGTGTCTATCTGTTCCTATTGTTTGTTTGTTTTTTTTCTTTCTGTTGATATCTTTGATTGTTCCCAAGAACTTGTGTAAGCACCCAAAAAAAAAAAAACCAAAAAAAAAAGGTAACTTCTTTGTGATGAGTGTTGGATTTTTATGAGCTTCAAAAGCTAACCAAAATAAAAAAGTCACAATTATACTAATCAGCTTAATACAAAACAAGACTCCATAGACAATAACTCAAAATTTCAAGATTCTTAAAACTAAAAAGTCTACCTAGAAATCACAACTTCTTCTCAGACTCTCTTAACATAAACTCTTGATCATTGAAAAGTAATTATGGAAAAGATTCAAGTAGGATTTCAGCTTCAGCAAAATTATCAATGGATTATGAAACCGATAATTCGATAAAGCATGGTTTCTTACTGATGGACGGCTGAGAATTCAGGAATAAGTCCGACGACTGATGCAAAGGTCTATCAAGTATCAAAACCAAAAAGAAACGAACCTTTGGGAAAGAAAAAAAAAATTGAATTATGAAAAGGAAAAGAACCTTTCAATATTTTAAATCATTTTCTGAAAAGCTTTTCATTAACAAAAGCAATATGCCTATGGAATTTTTTTATAGCAAACTAGCTATATCTCCTCTGTAAAGAAATCTAAACCACAAATGAAAACTACTTGCCAACTAGCAATAAACAACAACTTAATTTTGAGACAGGAGACACTTATATCCAAAATACGGTTTACTAGTTGATTAGTGTAAATCATTCATCCCAAACTTTGCTGAAGTATGGTTTGCAAACTTCAGCAAAGTTTGGGATGAGAACATGAAAGTTGTTTTGGGTGAATGTTTGTACTTTATAGATATATCAACGTTTTAGGTTTGGAACTTAAAAAAAAAAAGTAATATTTCAGCCGAAATTAGTTATATATTACATGAAAAAATCAAGGTGATCATAACAAAAAAGATATAAAAACAAAAGCGAAGAAGAAGAGAAAAGAGAAAGTTATGGAGGAGGAGGAGTTTGAAGCTTCGGGCTTGGGAGTTGGATGTGACGGTATTCTCCCAAAAAGCCCTAATCCATCTTCACTTGATACGTTCAATATTGATTCACTCGTGCTGCAATATATAGTTATCACATTTTTAAAAACTTTTCATCTCGTAACTAGTTCATTCTTATATGTGTACCTATGATCTAATTATTACATCTTAATCTAATGACAGATTTTTATACCTTGTAGACGGGAAGCGGCACGATCCTACACCTGTCAACAGAGAGAACAAGGTGACTAATCAGATTTACATGGAACACACAATCTAAACCTTATTATTATATAGTTTTCAAAAAAAAAACTAAAAAAAAAAAAATAGAAGCATATATATGATGTAGAGACTTCAATATGAATTCTGAAGTGTTCAATTGCTTTCAGTAAAATCAAAATTTTCCATTTGTTTTGTTAGTAAGATATATTCGTACTTATTGGCTCATCATCTTATATCTATATCTCCACCATGTTAAGTGATTATATGACCTTTTACTTTTTTGACAATTGACCTATTATACTGCCACCACTAGTTTATTATTACTTGGTTGTTAAACTTAGCTAGACAGATACGATTTAAATCACTAAATTCCAACTAATAAACATATATAAATCATAACCCAACATCAATATTTCAACTTTATTACTACCAACCATGTTTATATGAAATAGTTAAAATGACAAGTTGGAACACCATCTATAAGGAGATGACTTATATGTTAATTAGACAAATAAAATACTTCTTGAATTTAAAATTTTAACTAGAAATATAAGATAGAAAGACTTACTTGGGTCAGAACTTATAGTGACAGCAGTTCCATCAAAGTTGCAACTACTCGGGATAGGATTCTTCTGGTAATAACTGTTGAAGGCAAAAGAAGCATGCGCTCTTAACGAGCTAGGGCTATAACACTTTCCTCCTCCTTGTATATCCGAGCAGTCTGCTCCACCGATACCACACGCGTAGTCCAAAGCCGCTTGTAACGCCATTGTTGCGACGTTCTCCCTGGCAACACACCAGCTTCCACCTGGGTAGGCTGCAGCGTGTGGTGGAGATGGAATCGTTAGGGGAGTTGTGGCCACGGCAGAAGCGTCAGAGTCAGAGTTAGGGACCACGGTTGTTGGAGTAGTGGTGGTTGGGTTTGTGGCTAATGGTGTGGTTATGTCTTTTTCTTCTTCTACTGGTTCACTACTAGCTTTTGTACCTGTGTGCATGAAGTCACTAGTTAGTTAAATGTTTTTATTATCATGGATTAAGGATGTTAAAAACATTAATAATGATGATGTCGAAGTCTAAGATTTTGTTGGCAAAGTTATAACAGTAATTATCATGTCTCAAACATATTTGTTTCACTTATTTGGAATTAGGTGGATTAAAATGAAAGTAACAGAAAGTGAAGACCAAACCTCAGAGACAAAAAGACAGAAGAGAATCTTTGAACTGAACAAGAAAAAGTAACGACTATATAATAGTATTTGCAAGCTTGGACTCCTCCACACCAATTCCCGAAAGAATAAAAAGCAACTTCGTTTTTTTTTTTTTTTTTTTTGAAATTAGAGAAGAATTACCTTTTCAGAGTTTTGATAATAACGAAACGAAAAAACACGGATATGGAAGAATAAAATAGTAAATGGATCAACATGAGAATAAAACACAAATTCTAAAGAAGAAAAATAAAAACTGATGAGACATAGATCAAAGTTTATAACAAAAAAAAAAAATGCCCCAAGACATAGTTTAACTTTCTACAGCTTTTAAATAATGAGCTTCAAGTTATTAAACGTTATCTTTTTTTCCACTATAATATAAAAACTTCAAGTTATGGGTTATATATATATATATATAGACTTTCAAAATATTTTAAATGTGAATATTTTTCTAAAAGAAAAGTTATCATCTTATTTGAATGATGGGTTGAAAAAAGTAACCTGAGGAGGGGAAGGAAAGAAGAAGAAGAAGAAGACTAGCTACAAGTATGAAGCTTTTTCCCATTCCAAGAAGCTAGTTAACTCTTCTTCTCTCTTAAAGCTTTGAATCCTCCTGTCTTTTATCGACAAAATCTTTCAACTATCTTTAGAGCAAGAAGGATAGAAAGAGATGAGCTATATGTGTTTGAAACTTTGAGTTTATGGGGTTGGAGAAGGAAGAGGAGAAGGTTGCTGGAGAAAGAGCTAGAGAGAAGTAATGATTTGTTTTTGGGAGATTTAGGTTATGTGGGCAATGTTATAATGTATAATGTGGGCTGCTTATAGTGTGAGTGAGTGATGTTAGTAATGATGGTTTTTCTCTCACACTTTTGATTCTTCTATTCCATGGTTCCTCCTTTTTTAAACTTTTTTCCCAATAACAATAAGGACTTTTTCATTAGTTTTCTTTTTTCTTTCTTTCTTCAAACTCTCTATGTAAGCACAAATAATTTGCCGCTAAAATAAACATAAACAAATTTGATGAGTAGTGGGACTTAACATAGCTACGAACTAGACATAATCCTAAATTAACATCTTAATGTAAAATTAAATGAAAGGGAAAATTCGCCAAGTTATAAAAGTCTTGAAAATTTTATTTTGGTAGAAGACAAGTACTTCACTTACCGGGGGAAAAATTTATTTAGCGTGATTGTGTTGTTGAGGAAATTTTTGTATTTGAAACAATATGGACAAAACAAAGAAAAATATTGGATAAGGAAGAAATTAAGAATTTTGGAAAAAGGATGTTCTATCATGAATTTACACTAGAAAGTCAAAACAACAATGAATAAAAATACAAGATTTCTTACTCATTGCATAATCACAAAAGTTTGGCAATGATGACATTTTTAGCTAGGATCCCATTTGAGTTATACGACTGAGATCGTAAAGTTAAACATTTGATCGGTCGAACTATATGTTATCCAAGAAGATTTGCACATGTCTAAGTCATGGATTACATGGATGCCAATTTTTATTATAAGACAAGTCTACTCAAAATGTTTGCTAAGTCAGGATCCTACTATACACTACTTTTATAAGTACATGGCTAGTGATAGAAGATAACTCTTCCAAAGATTATTACCTAGCGTGGTCATTCACACGATTGACGATCTTTAGTTTAGTTTGGTTTTTTTTTTTTAATAGAAACATTTTTTTTGTTGATGAATAAATTTAAAATGTTTAACATAAAACGATTTAATCTTTCTTTGAGAAAAAAGCGTTACACCTAATTCGAAATAAAGAATAATAGAATACTCTTTGGCTTCTACTGGTAACCATTAAAGGAACAAAAGGAAAAAGAACAAAAAGAACAATACGGAACGGAATAAACAACTTTTGAGCAATGAAAGGAAAACATGCAGAGAAGAACAAAATAATAAATGATAACCAAACAATAACACTATCTTTTATAATATATTTGATTAAATAAATCAACTTTTAATAATAATACTAGATATAATTTATATATAATGAATTTGACACTAATTTTAAAATATATTTTTGAATGAATTTAAATATTTAATGTTAAAAATTAATAATTTTTATTAACCTATTATAGATTATAGTAATTTTTTATTTGTTATTTATGATATAAACATCTCTTAAATATGTTTTACTATCCATACAAATTTTAAATAATGTATAGTAAGATTTTTTAACATGAAATTCATATCAAAAATATTTTTTAATGTCAATACATGATAAAAATATGAAAAATATTATATTATGAGATTAAAATATTATTAATAAATAATTTTTTATTTATTTTAAAATAAAAACGAATTTTAATATTTGTTCTTTTTTTTGTTCCATTTGTTCCTCATCAATTTTGGGGAGGAACATTTTTGTTATATTGTTCCTCATTTTGTGAGGAATGTAGAGTAATGATGTGTAAAAATGATTTCTTGTAAATGGTAAAAAAATTGAGTAATGAAGAGAAATGTCACATTCCTTCTCATTTTTTTCCTAAATCATGGTTACCAATCGAGGCCTTTATAGTTTGATGTTCCTTTACTTTTGGGGAAATATAGCAAATTGATTGATTTGACTTTATTTTGAACTAGGACCACAAAAATGTTACAAACTCATAAGCCTTTACTTTTGACTAATCTCATACCAACTTTGTGTATTTATTATTCACATTTTTTGTTACTGTACAATGTACATTATTCATTCTTTCAGTTCCACATTGCTTTCTCATTGTAATTAACTAATACAGCTATATTTAATTTAAAGTATAGTTTTAGAGTCTTTAGACCCTTATTATTAAAGTTTGTCTCTTTTAATTGCAGTGATTCCGGTACTTTGTTGAAAGTTGCGGTCATAGTTGCGCATTACATCTACACAAAATTGTAAAGTAGAAAATTAAGTCCATTCAGAATGGGAAAAAAAAAAGCAATTAACGTTAATTTAGTTGTATGAGTTCAGAATTGTTTAAAAGTAAATTCAAGGTTTAAAGCTCATTGAAATGTGTGCTGTGGATTTTAGTGGACGGAAATAAAACAAACAAGGGCAAGATGCAACTTTCGGTGTTGCAAAAGAAAAAAAATGTTTCTCTTTACTCCATTTGAGTAATAATAATAATAATAGGGTACGGAATGATAGGAACAAATATACATATATGAGAGCTCGTGGGGGCACACTAATTGGTAAACAACAACATATGAAATGAAGATTTTTTTGGACCGACCCTATCCAAAATTTGCATTTCATGTAACCTCATGATTGTTAGGAAAAGAATGAACCACTCCTAAAAACTCTATGGTATTTGTTATAGACACAGTCAAACAAAGTTCGTAACCTCTTACGCTACATCTTAGGATATAACTTCAAAATCTTCTTGCACTCTTTTTAAAAAAAACGTATTACGATAAAGAAAAACAACTTAAACAAGAATGCAGAAGAAGTGGCTCGAGTTCTTCTTAGTCTTTGACACTCTTATTGATTCATTATCTTTTTCATCACCACAAAGACTCTTGAGTGATGAACAGAATCATATCAAAGCAAGGATCAGAAATGATCCAACACAAACTCTCTCAACACACTTCCTTCTTTGGCATCAAGCTCTGGATCCTCATTACAGCTTCTGCCTCTATAGCCTTCTTATTAGTTCTGGTCGTTTCTACATTCCTCTGTTTCTTCTTTCATAGGAGGAAATGTAGACAAGAACCATTCAGACTAAGATCAAAGCTTTGTCTTCCTTTGTCACACATTCCTTCAAATAACAAACAACAGATTCCATACAACCGTTGCGGTGACGATGTAGAGAGCCATAGAATATCTCAGGTTGGTTGGTCATCTGCTCATCTTTCCTACTACACCCGGAGCTTCTCCTCTACCGGCAGCTTTGGAAGCTTCACCGTGTTTACGTTCATGGAGATCAAGAATGTGACAGATGGTTTTGCAAATTATAATCTGATTACTAAAGGAGATTCTTCAACAGTGTATCGTGGTATCTTGATGGGTACAGTCACTGTTGCTGTCAAACGGTTCTTCCCCATCCATCAAAGGTTTAGTTTTTACATTTTCTCTTGATCAATTCCTTCGAATATATCTTAATATTTTGATATGAGACAATGATGTAATCAGGTATGAAGATAAAGATTTCATAACAAGAGCTGAGATGATTGCAAATGTTAGACACAAGAATGTTGTAAGACTCCTTGGATACTGCACCGAAGGAGATGAGATGTATATATAAATTTGATAATTACCTCTGCATGTGTGACTTAAAATGTAGGCTCATACTAAAGTGAATTTATGAATGAGTTTTAGGGTTCTTGTTTATGAATACGCTGAGAAAGGAGATTTGCACCAATGGCTTCATGGATCTGCTGGGAGAAATAGGCCTCTGACCTGGAGAAAGAGAATGAAGATCATTCAAGGAATAGCAAAAGGGTCTGATGATCTTTTCTATATATATACTATTTCAACCAATTTTTTCTTGTGCGTGAATGATTTGTGTTTGTGTTCTGATCAGCCTTGCGTATATTCATGAGGACATCGAACCAAAGATCACTCATCAAGACATAAGACCAAGCGAGATTCTTCTTGACTATCAATGGAACCCTAAGATACTTGATGTTGGATTCATCGGTAACAGTGATGTTCCAACTTTTATTTCTTCACCTGATAATCTAGATGAAAAAATCGACGTTCATTGCTTCGGGACTTTGATATTGGAGCTTGTCTCTGGGAGAGTCTCTGTAGACCAAAGCTCATCACCACATGTGAGCTAGAGTTCATATACATCATACATATTTTTATCACAAATCCCATTGGTTAATTAACTTACCGGAAACAATGTTGTTCTTTTGGTATAGGTTTATCTAGTGGACTGGATCAAAGAGATGGTGGCAAATCATATGATAGTAGATGTTCTTGATCCTAACCTGCCTGAATTTCCTACAAGGAAGGAACTAAAACGGATTGTGTTGATTGCATTGCGTTGTGTTGATCCTGAAATTAAACAAAGACCAAAAATGGGAGATGTGATTCACATGCTCCAACCACATGACTTGCTACTTAGTTCCAATGTAATGAAACTTTTTGACATATTACTTAGTTCCTTGTACCCCAAGCTATGTCGATAGATTTGTTCGTTTCTTATTCTTTACTTTCTTCTGTCTATGGTGCAGGGAATAAGAACACCTCAGAAGATTACTCGGTCACACGAGGTTTCTGCGATCAGTATCAGACAATGAATGAATCTAAAGAGTAAAATAATAATTGCTAATTTAGGATCTTATGTAATACCTTTTTTACATTAAGGGTTCGTTTAAATTTATTACACAGCAGTCTCAGCTGTATTGGTTTTTCTTTCCACCTCTTGTGAATGTGTTTGACTGGGATATGTAATATCAGTTAGTTCCAATAACCGGTACTAACAAAACCATTTGAGTAAACCGGTAATATATAATTGGCGCAAGTGTTCTGAAGCTTCATCATCAGCAATCTCTCTCACACGAACGAAGATCTTCTTCAAGGGGATTTTGGATCGTCGAATCTCTATCAGTTACGATCTCTGTCTGATTCTTTACTGGGTAATTTTTGAAAATTGGGTGTTTCCGACCGTCGAATAGATATGAACTGGGTTCAACGAAAAATCTATCTTTACAACGTCACCTTCGGGCTTTACATGCTTGATTGGTGGGAAAGATACCTTTTCAGTATCCTTTTCTCTTATATCGATCTGTTCTATTTGAATTTTTGCTGCATCTTGTTACGAATCTCATCTTATTCGGTTTAAAGGTTGGATTTTTATTTGCTCAGCTTCTTTAGCTGCGTTATCTCTTGTTTCTTAAGAGTTTGATTTTTATAAAGAAGTGAGCTGGATTTGATACTGTTTGTGAAGTTTTGTCCTGCATAAACAAAAGCAGAGCTTTTGCCATTTTCCTTAACTCATTTTTTCAGATTCGTTGGTGATAATCTTGATGTGGTTTATTATGTACAATGGATCTCGTTACTTTTCAGAGCTTTGCAAGAGGTAACTTTTATGATATTTATGTGTAGATTTGGTTTGATTTAGGCTTGGACTTTGTCAGCATCTCAAATCCTAGTTATGTGTATGTGTTATACTAGTTTCTATTTCTAGTTAAGTGTATTGATTTACATATCAGGATGACTCGTTTGATAATTTTAGATCACAATTATTGAATGTTGGGTACTATAGTGACTGTTTATACACATATGATGCACATGCTCTATGCTATTCTTGGTTTGTTCTTGATGGGCTAAAATACTAGTTGGCAAAATTTCGATATTGTTGGGATTGGGATAGTTTCCTGTATAAAGTTGAATGTTACTTTCATCTTTGTGTTTAAAATTGATTTAGAGGGCTGCCAGACTTTGGTTACATATTCAAATCTCTAAGGCAGAGAAACTTCAGTCCATCTGCTTAATCCTCAGTGGGGTTCAAACATATTGTTATTGAAGATCAATTGTGTTTGCTAGTTAAGATTGCCAAGTTAATTGTGAGTCCATGACCGTGTTATTAAAAGATGATTCGTTGGGATTTTGATCTTAGGGAAGCATGTGACATCACTATCTTGATAGAATCCTTGCGTTGTTATTCACTGCTTAATTATCTTCAAATTCCACAGGCATCTTTCGTGAAACCAACTCATTGTCATCATGCCATGGAAGCATGAAGCCGACCTGGTTGTCTGAGACGTGTGCCAAACTGCCAACAAACTCCTTTGTTCTGCCTTCAACCTCCTCCTTTGGCATAATTTCTGATCATGTAATTGTCCATATATGTCTCTATTATTTATTATCATGGTTTTGGAATGAGCTTCATTTGTTTAGTTCTATAGCCACTTCAAAATCTTGGGACAGGACCAAATCATATTTATTGCATCTTTTGATGTTTATATTCCATGAACTCAAAGTTATCAGGTGTTGTCTTGCTACTGTTAGTAAGTTACTCACAGTACTAGATAAAGGCTTAAGAATCTTATATAATCTCCATTTTGTTTTCATTGATCTTCTGATGTTATACTAGTCCTAGTTTCAAATTCTTGATTCAGAAGATTTGCTGTAGTGAGTTAACAGCAGGTTTCTAAGAAACGGATTGTCCAAACATTTTCATTTCAGTCCATAATTGTCCGATGAACACAAACAATGATGGCTAGAAGTCTAGAACCCAATTATGAATGGTCGTGTGCATTTTTCTCAGAATGAAAACAATATCAAAAAGATATCTATTATAAACCTTCTTTTATGTAAAATCATGTTCTCTGGTCTCTGTGGATGTAGGAGTTTTCTGATCAGGCTGATCAGATCAGCGGCTACTAGTGACAAAATTCAAGGTTCTCGAGTAAACCAACCTTAAATTAATTTTGGTTTTGGATAACTCAATTTTAAGTTTTGGTTAAGTAAAGAACCACTAAATGAAAGACACGTAAGTTCTTCAGGAACCACATCTGTTCCCTTCAAAAAAAAATCCCAAGTCCTTCACTCTTCTCCTCTCTTCTCCATCTTCCTCATATCTGCAGAGCTCGAGATTCTCCTTCTTCCACAACTCTCATCTGTAATCGATACAGGTTCTGCTTCTACCTCTTCTCTTTGGTTAGATTCTGTATAAACTCTGGCTGGGTTTAGTTCGGCAAACTCTGATTTCGTCGCTTTTGTGCTAGTTTTTGTTCCTTGATTCTAATTCTAAACAATTCAGTGAACTGAGAACGCATAATTATCATGAATTTTATGGGCTATTCGTATATTTACTGTTCCTTTCATCTGAGGATTAGGTACTTGCATGTTGAGTCTGATTTTGGTATCATCTAATAACTTTTTTGTTTGGTTCTTTGATGGATTTCAGATGGCAGCTTCATCTACTTGTCTTGTGGGAAATGGATTGACAGTGCACACAACAACCAAACAGAGGTTAAGGAGAAACTTTTCCAGCAGACAGATTGGTCTTTCCTCATCCTTTTCTTCAGTTGTTAGGACACCTAGGTTTAATGTTGTGAAGGCTTCTTTGGATGCGAAGAAACATGAAGGAAGGAGAGATTTTCTCAAAATCTTGTTAGGAAATGCCGGAGTCGGTTTGGTTGGAAGTGGGAAAGCAAATGCAGAAGAACAAGGGGTTTCTTCGTCTAGGATGTCGTATTCTAGGTTTCTAGAGTATTTGGATAAAGATAGGGTGAATAAAGTGGATTTGTATGAGAATGGGACAATAGCTATTGTGGAAGCTGTTTCTCCTGAGTTGGGTAACCGGGTTGAGCGTGTACGTGTTCAGCTACCGGGATTAAGTCAGGAGCTTCTCCAGAAGCTTAGGGCCAAGAATATTGATTTTGCAGCCCATAATGCTCAGGAAGATCAAGGTTCTGTGTTATTCAACTTGATTGGTAATCTTGCTTTCCCACTGCTTTTGATCGGTGGTTTGTTCTTTCTTTCGAGACGCTCTGGTGGTGGAATGGGTGGCCCTGGTGGTCCTGGTAACCCACTTCAGTTTGGTCAGTCCAAAGCAAAGTTCCAAATGGAACCAAACACTGGTGTGACATTTGATGATGTTGCTGGAGTTGATGAAGCAAAGCAAGATTTCATGGAAGTGGTGGAGTTTCTGAAGAAACCCGAGAGATTCACTGCGGTTGGTGCCAAGATCCCCAAAGGTGTTCTCCTGATTGGTCCTCCTGGTACCGGGAAAACCCTTTTGGCAAAAGCCATTGCTGGTGAAGCTGGTGTGCCTTTCTTCTCCATCTCTGGTTCTGAGTTTGTTGAGATGTTTGTCGGTGTCGGTGCCTCAAGAGTCCGTGATCTTTTCAAGAAAGCCAAGGAGAATGCTCCTTGCATTGTCTTTGTAGATGAAATAGATGCTGTCGGCAGGCAAAGAGGGACCGGAATTGGTGGAGGTAATGATGAAAGAGAACAGACCCTCAATCAGCTCCTAACTGAGATGGATGGTTTTGAAGGTAACACTGGTGTTATCGTAGTTGCTGCAACCAATAGAGCAGACATTCTTGATTCTGCTTTGTTGAGGCCAGGACGGTTTGATCGACAGGTACTAAATGATTAATACACATTGATATTTTTATGTAATCCTATACTATTCCTAGTGCTGGTGCTTACTTATAAGTTTTTGATGCAGGTAAGTGTTGATGTTCCAGACGTTAAGGGGAGAACAGATATTCTCAAGGTTCATGCCGGTAATAAAAAGTTTGACAATGATGTCTCACTTGAAATAATAGCAATGAGAACACCTGGATTCAGTGGAGCAGATCTCGCTAACCTCTTGAATGAGGCTGCTATATTGGCGGGAAGGCGAGGGCGGACTTCGATATCATCTAAAGAGATTGATGACTCTATTGATAGAATCGTTGCTGGCATGGAAGGAACAGTGATGACTGATGGGAAGAGCAAAAGCTTGGTTGCTTACCATGAAGTTGGTCATGCAGTGTGTGGGTAAGTGAGAGTCAGATTATAGGCCGGTCTGTATATTTTACCATCAAGAACTTACTTTGAAGTTATAAGCATTGTTCTTTTGCAGAACATTGACTCCAGGACATGACGCAGTGCAAAAGGTAACATTGATACCAAGAGGCCAAGCAAGAGGTCTGACATGGTTCATTCCATCAGATGACCCTACACTCATCTCCAAGCAACAACTCTTTGCAAGAATTGTTGGTGGACTTGGTGGTAGAGCCGCTGAAGAAGTCATCTTCGGTGATTCCGAGGTGACTACTGGCGCAGTTGGTGACTTGCAACAGATCACCGGTTTGGCTAGACAGGTACGTACAGCCTTCACATTGTTCATGCTTGGGCCTGTTACTAAATCTGATCTGTTACTAGTTCAAGATATTGAGAGCTTGAGATTGTTGACCTTTGTAGATGGTAACAACATTTGGAATGTCTGATATTGGACCATGGTCGTTGATGGATTCATCTGCTCAAAGTGATGTTATCATGAGGATGATGGCAAGAAACTCCATGTCTGAGAAGCTTGCTGAAGACATTGATTCTGCTGTGAAGAAACTATCAGACAGTGCATATGAGATAGCTCTAAGCCACATAAAGAACAACCGTGAAGCCATGGACAAGCTTGTTGAAGTGCTTCTTGAGAAAGAAACTATTGGCGGTGACGAGTTCAGGGCAATCCTCTCTGAGTTTACTGAGATCCCACCGGAAAACCGTGTTCCTTCCTCAACAACAACTCCAACATCAGCACCAACACCAGCCCCCGTCTAAGTAATGGATTTGTATACTTGTAATACTTTAATTTTTCTGTAAATCTATCTGTCAAACTTGAACTTTAGAAAGTTGTGTGATACTATCTCAAAACTTAGTAACAAGTAAATGTTAAAATTGAATTGGTAAATCCACCAACGCTGTGTGTATTAGTAAGTGTGTTCTAGATAGTTCCATCTTAAAAAAATTCTCTATGGACAATCCAGTTCTTGGCTTAAACACTTCTTTAGGATTCAATTCAACAATCTTTATAGAATTAGTTGTCCAGATTTGCAAAATTCTAACAGAGAATAAAAAGTAATTTGAAGCTTGCACAAGTAAAAACACCAAATCGGTCTGGTAACGATGATCAGTCATTCATACTTATGTTATGTACATTTGCATACACCTCAAAACCTTAGTCCCTAATGCTTTAAATAAATCTGTTCCATGATCTCTCTGTTCAATGAACACTACCAAATTGAGACTGTTTCGTTTTGTTCACCTTCCAGGAGCAAACCTGAAACCAGAGTAATCCACAAATCAATGTTCAAATTCCAAATCAGTAATACTATATAAAAACCTTAAAGAAGCAACAATTTAATATGATCAAACCTTTAAGAGCAAACGTTACGCAATTAATGGCGGCTTCACGCCACTTGCAATTCCATCATTATTAGCTCTCTCTTTCTTCACCCACACCATTGTAGAAGCAGAAGCAGAAGCAGCTCGTATCGGCTTTTTAACACGCTGATGCGCCAAATCGTTCCCCTGCTTTGCCCGGTTATTAAACGGTTTGGTTTGTGCCTTGAGATTCTTGGTTTCATCTCTTTTAATAGAAAGATCCTCAAATTTTGTACCTATGGCCGTCGCAGCATCCTTAACCACACTTTTTTCTTTTTTCTTCCTATAAACTCGAACCACACCTTTCACCGGAGTAACATTCTCCGTCACGACGGACTCAGACGGCGCGATTGAACCACAATCACCACAATCGACAACGAGATCATTTACCATAGCCACATCTTGAATTTTCTTCTTATTCTTCCCACTATCATACCGTTTCCTCCTAAATCCCCTATCCATCTCCGCCGTATCTTCACCCCCGCCGCTCCCGATCACCGCCGTAACTTCTGGTTTCTCCTTCTCGACGAATTTCACTCCTCCGCCGCTCGTAGATTGACTTTTTCTTCCGGAACGCTTCTGATTACTTCGATTGAAACGCTTCTTCTCCTCATCCTCCTCTGCTTTCTTCAGATCTTCTTCTCTCTGTTTATCTTCCTCGACCTGTTGTTTCCGTCGTCTCTCTTCTTCTTCTTCCTCCTTACGCTTCTTCTTTTTCTCATTGATCCAACGCTCCTGGAGCTGAAGTATGCTGATGTAGTTAGCTGGAATCAAAGGAGTAGTCTTCTTTTTGCCGTCAGTGTTCTTCTCCATTGAAATCTTTTTTTTTTTCGTTTCCTCTCCTTCGAAGCTGAAACAATGGAGAAAATGCTATATTAACAAAGCATTAACTTTTTACACCGCACTTGATCCTATAGGCCCATTGGCTGGCCTGTAATTTTCGTTGAATCTTAAAATTAATGTAAAAAAAAAATCTGAAAACAATTGTAATATATAATGTTTCGTCTTCTCAACAAAAATTCATTGGTTATTCGGAACTATCAATATCAAAAAAAAAAAATGAATACTATTTTGTCAAATTTTTTAAAAGATCGAAAGTTTTGGGTATCATTTAGATGAACGAACAACTATAAGTCTATAACATACACAAATGCTCTGAGCCTCTGACTATTTATCTATAAATATTCAAACAAACTACTTAAAAAAAAAATAAGAATGAAATTTATAATTTTGATTACTCTAATTTTTTAATCCTAAAATCCATTTTAATTTTCACCTTTATTTCTTTAATATTGTGAGAAAAGTTTTCACTATAGACAACAAAGGATGAAAAAGAATCTTATAGTTTCATTAATGTTTTTACATCAAGAAATCATGAAATTTGATGTCCAAATAAGAAGATTTATTTATTAATTCGCAGATTAAGGAGAAAAACTTACAACGAGATTTACAACAAAACACAAATAAAATTGTTCATTGTAATTTTACGCTTAGAGAAAAAGTATCGTGAATAGCGTGCTTTGTGTTTAGAGAAAATGATGTAAATTTGTGATGAACCTAATAGGATCTAAAAGAATTATATATAGAAGAATCGTTATTTGAACACTTCCCATAATTTATAATAAATAATAAATCAAAAATTAAAAAAAAAAAAATCAAAACAATTATAGAAATATAATAACTAGTAAAAATTACATCTATGTAAACAATGTTATATTGTCTTGACTCAATTGACCCAACAATTTAATATATTTTTTTTGTTTTAAAAAAAAGAAATCAAATTATACATTTATCATAAACAATGTTAGATTCTAAATTAAATAGTATCAGATATGTTGTTACAAAAGTAGATTCAGGTGTTGGAAAAAATTCTGACACGGTATTCCAAGAAAAAGAGACATAGAGCCACGTAATATTTATTTACTGTGGGAGAAATAAAAGCTTTATTTTATTTATTAAATATTAATAATTAAATCTTATCTCTCTCACACACAGTTCAAGACCATTTTCTAAAGCAACTTGCATCGCTCATTTCGTCTTCATCTGCCTTCGTACGAGTCGCTGCTTCTCCAACGCTCTCTCTATATAAACCCCCTCGACGATTCCTTCTTTTTACTGTGTTTGACGTTAAGAGGTAGAAGAAAGAGAGTTTATTATTATTATGGCTATGGCGATGATTATCCGAAACGCAGCTTCACGGCGAGCAGTGACTCCGGTCTCTGGCGATTTCGGTGGTTTGAGATCTATGTCTTCATGGTGGAAGAGCGTTGAGCCTGCTCCTAAAGATCCGATCCTCGGAGTTACCGAAGCTTTTCTCGCTGATCCGAGTCCTGAGAAAGTTAATGTTGGTGTGGTGAGTTTTACTCTTCTCCAGATCTTACGGATTTTGCTTTTTTCCGTTGGAGGATGCTACGAGAGTCTTTGAAATGATATCAAAATTGAGATCTTAAGTATTGAACAGGAATTGAGATTTTGTTGGTGTTTTGATCCATTGAGCTGATCGAGGAGTTTTACTTTTTCGTTTATAAAGCTAATCTTTGTTTCTTACTTATGTGCTCAATTGGCTTGAATCATTTAGGGAGCATATCGTGATGATAATGGCAAGCCTGTTGTCTTGGAATGTGTCAGAGAAGCTGAGCGAAGGCTTGCTGGGAGTACTTTCATGTAAGAATTTGGAATTTCTCTATCTCTCCCAAATGAGCTAACTTTAGGCTTCTCTATTGCTAGCTATAAGTTTCTGTAGCTGATGCTATCTTATCTAAACGATCATGCTCCAATCAAAATTCTAAATTTCCATGTCAAGCACTTAAGTCTCTTTTTCTCTTATCAAGTTTGTTTACTTTGCTTTCAGCTGATTGACCCAAATTAGCCTTACTGAATATTTAATCTGCACATGATTTCATGATAAATAATTGCTTGTGCTGATATGTTGGGCACTAGTTTATATCACATGCTTGTTAAACTTATATAGCGTAATTCTGTACAAATTTTTGGCGAAGTAAGAATATGTGATACTTATTTTGCATGCCTCATAGTAAGAACTAAGAAAGATCAACATCATCAATTATCTCATTTCCCGTATTCACCATACTGATATGAGCTGACTCTATTGTCTTTATCAACTAAAGGGAGTACCTTCCTATGGGAGGAAGTGTCAAAATGGTGGACCAAACATTGAAGCTTGCATATGGGGACGATAGTGAATTTATTAAAGATAAAAGAATAGCTGCAATTCAGACTCTGTCTGGCACTGGAGCCTGCCGACTGTTTGCAGACTTCCAGAAACGTTTTTGCCCTGGTTCTCAGATCTACATTCCTGTACCAACCTGGTCTAAGTGAGTTTTATACAGTTAAAATTTAATCATTCCGCATATAAACCTCAACCCTCTACTTTGTAAGGGTGGCCAAGCCTCTATTGCTTCCCCAAAAAAGCATTGCTTATGTTTTCTTCTATCAACAGCCACCACAATATCTGGAGAGATGCACAAGTTCCTCAAAAGACATATCATTACTATCATCCAGAAACCAAGGGCTTGGATTTCTCAGCATTGATGGATGATGTGAAGGTTGGCGAAGAACATCTTCTTCAACAAGCAACTTTATTTCATCTGGAAAAAAAGAAAAAAAAATTATTTCATCTGCTTGTTAATAACATCCTAATTCGGTTGATCCTTTTTATACAGAATGCTCCAGAAGGCTCATTCTTCCTTCTTCATGCGTGTGCTCATAATCCTACTGGAGTAGACCCTACAGAGGAACAATGGAGAGAGATTTCACAGCTATTCAAGGTGATAACTCATCAATTTTTAATAGTTTTTAGTCTATCGTTGACTTTTCTTCTCCCTGATCAGTCCGTTGCAAACTAATATCAAATTCTCATTTCAGGCTAAAAGTCATTTTGCATTCTTCGATATGGCTTACCAAGGTTTTGCTAGTGGAGATCCAGCAAGAGATGCCAAATCCATCAGGATCTTTCTTGATGATGGACATCATATTGGAATTTCTCAGTCTTACGCAAAAAACATGGGACTCTACGGCCAGAGGGTGGGTTGTCTCAGGTATTTATTTTTCTCAGTAAAGAACACCATTTAAAGAACAGCATTTTCAAATTTGAATGTATGCGTCATCAAATTGTATGAGATAGCCATACATGTTCATTTCGTGATGAAGTTACAATTGAATATGAACGTGACGGCTTTGTCTTCTTCCGCAGCGTACTTTGTGAAGATGCAACACAAGCCGTGGCTGTGAAAAGTCAATTGCAGCAGTTAGCTAGACCAATGTACAGCAACCCACCTTTACATGGTGCTCAACTGGTCTCAACCATTCTTGAAGACCCGGAGTTAAAGAGTCTGTGGCTAAAGGAAGTTAAGGTACCATTCCATCATATTGTTACTTCCTTAACTATATAACCTACTTATTCCTCCGATTTATCCCATGTTTTCATGTGTAGTTGTGCACACATTATGAAAGAAAATGCTAATTTGTTTATTCGTGACCTTATATTCCATGTTCACTCTTTTGTGTTCAATAATCAACTATAAATTAAAATCTGATAAGCCATATGTAAAAACTGTAAAACAACAGGTAATGGCTGATAGGATCATCACCATGAGAACTACTTTGCGAGAAAGCCTTGAAAAGTTAGGGTCACCTTTATCATGGGAGCACGTTACCAAGCAGGTAATTGCAAGATAAACTGTGTTTCTTTGAACTTATAGTCATTTCTCACCTCTGATTCACACAATCACATAATCCTATCTTTGTGGGGATACAGATTGGCATGTTCTGCTACAGTGGGCTAACACCAGAACAGGTTGACCGCTTAACTAGCGAATATCACATCTACATGACCCGTAATGGCCGTATCAGGTACTTCACTTTCTCTTGATTAGAAATCTTTAATCTTACATCTAAATGCATCCATTCTTCTAAGTTCTAACATCAACATGCGTAATTTCAATGCAATCTATTTCTTAACCATCGAGGCTCTTGATGTTATGGTTGCAGTATGGCTGGTGTTACGACAGGAAATGTAGGATACCTTGCGAATGCTATACATGAAGTCACCAAGTCTTCTTAAATCATTTACTTGCACGTTTCAGCCAAAACATAAAAAATTTTGTTTGAGGAATCAATAAAAACAGAAAGCAAGATTTGTACTTCAATTGTTTTGATGGGAACTGAAAAGTTACCCATAACCACCATATACTGTAATTTATCAGCGCATTTTTTCCCGTTAGCTGGGCAATAAAAACACAAGGCCTGAACCATGGATTCTTGGATATACAAAAGTTCGTATTGTTCTCCTCTCATTTGCTCTTTCTGCTTGGTTCCATTAGCCTATTTCATAACTGTATACGATTTAAGATCTATCTTTGTTACATGTCTATGTACACGCTATGTTGTAAGCTTAAACTTAAGATTATCATGATTTGGGTTTTTTGTTTTGCGGATCTTTGGAATCGGTTTTGTTTCTTTTTTACGGACAAAAACATATACAAATACTGATACACGAGAAATAGTATCTCTACAAGTCAGTGAACAAAAAGAATATTAAAGACACAGTTATCACTTCTTGATCTCTCAAAAAAGCTAAATTGGCCACGTCTAAGGAGGAGACATCATCTCTTCTCAGAATCTGATAGTTAATCAGAAAGAAGTAAAAGCTCCTTCTCCTTTCCATAAAGCATTTGGCTCTCCCAAAGCATCTCAGTTGTTTTCTAGGGACCAGCTTGAAATGGAAAGCCTCCATTCATCTGTCGCCTCACATGCTCTGGTATCAGCCTGTTGATAAGTTCTGGCGAAGCCGTAGCCAGCTGAGAGATAGAGAGGTAACAGATTAAGTAACTCTTTGAGTTCTCAGTTATGTTTGGTTCAAAGCAAAGTCTCGGTTAACATACCTCTTGCTTGAAGTTGAACAACGGTGGTAGAGGTCGGCCATTTGGAAGACGAGCATTTGGCTCACGGAGTTCATTGAAAAACGGATGGGCACATGCTTCAAGCTTCAGACAGAAAACAAACATATATCGGTTAAAACAAAAGATGGTGAACCGCTATAACAGTTTACAGTATTTGATGGCGTGGAAATACTAACCGCAGTGCAACGTAAACTAGGTGAATACTGAAGGAGCCGAGAAGCGAGGTCTATGGCTTCTGGAGGCATCCGCTTGTGGAAAACCTGAAGAAGGTCATAGAGTAGTTTATGTATTGTTTTAGCTTTCTTCTTTATGAATATTTTCTAGGTAACAAATAAGCAATTGTATCATCAGAAAGAAGTTAGAGTGAAATACATATATATATATACCTTATGCCAAGGGTGAGCTTTGATTTGTGGGAATCTGAAGTCAGTGTAGTTTGGGTTCATGCATCGGATTTCTTCTCGAGTTGGAGTACCGAGAACCTAAACCAACACAGCACATCAACCGTCACAAATCTATTAAGATAAATAAGAATATAAACCATAGAGGAAATGACGCCAAAGTAAAAATCTAATAAAACATGACTTCACCTTAATGATCTCCACTAGCTGGTCCACTGAATTTTCTCCCGGGAATAATGGCTGTGAAGATAAATAATAACACATTGATTTCAGAATATTATGGAGAGATGATTTAGTTCTCAAGATACTTCAACAGTGTAAGAATTTACACTGACCTGGCCAAGAAGAAGCTCTGCAAGAACACAACCAGCAGACCATATATCTATGGATGATGTATACTCTGTAGCCCCAAAGATGAGTTCTGGAGCTCGGTAATACCGAGAGCAGATGTATGATATGTTTGCTTCACCTTTCACCTAATGTAAAATAGCCATATGTCAGATAACAGAGATGTATCTAACTGAATTTTCATGGGACAGAACATGTGGAACATAAACTATTGCATCTATACTTCTGTAAATGAAAGTTCTACCGTCTAACTATTGCATATGGTAAAAGTAAAATAATCATAAATAAAAGTATAAAGCTCTTACCAATACTTTTGCACTTCCAAAATCACAGAGCTTACACTGATGGGTGAGGGGATCAACCTACGGAACACACCAGAGAACTAGATTACAATCTAGTCTAGGTTGCTAGAGATAAAACCATAATAGATCAACGTACCAAAAGATTTTGCGGTTTCACATCTCTGTGGCAGACACCAGGAGCAGTATGGATATAAGCCAAGCCTCGGAAGATCTGCAACAACATATTTTGTAGCCCATTTCAGGATCAACACAATAGAATAAGTATGTGTAAGGGGACACAGCAGGTAACAAGGCATACCTGGTATGTGTAAAGTTTGACATAGAAAATAGGCATCCTCTGGTTTGAACTAGTATAATGCTTTAAAACCCGGTACAATGTCTCGGGTACATACTCCATAACGAGATTGAGGAAGAGCTCATCTCTACTCGTTGTAGAGAAGAAACAATGCTTCAAGGAAACCACATTAGGGTGGTCCATTAGTCGCATTAATTGCAACTCTCGGTTTTTATAGCGGCGATCTTGCAAAACCTTCTTAATGGCTACTGATTCTCCAGTTTCCAAGCATTTTGCCTAGAATTGTAAGTTAACAATATGATTAGAAAGGAAGAAAAAAGAAGCCATTGCCTAAAGAGGCTTAAAGTGACAAGCACAATAGTACCTGGAATACAATTCCGAATGATCCTGTTCCAACAACCCGTTCAGCCATGTAACTAATGGTCTGTAAAATCCAAAAGAAGGAAAACATAAGTAAGTAGAACTACTAAAAATGGATTAAATGAGTCACAAAGAAGTCAAAATTATTTATTAATTTTGTTGAAGTTAAATAAGGGAAAAGCAACATAACAAATGATTAATCTAAACATCAGGTAACCTTCCACAAGGTATTGTGCCTCGGAATCGTGAACAAAAACTGCTATATAAGTCATTTAAATGATTTAACAAACAAAAGAATCCAACCTGTTTAGGTTCACCATTTTTGCCTCCAATTGTAGTAGAAATGATGTGACCAGTAACAGCATCATTTCCTTCTATCACAGCAGCAGACATATCCTGCAAATCAAATCTGAACATATTAGAGAATTAAACTATTCTTCTCTACAATTTAGTCTTCAGATTAGAGAATTCAATCAAGTTAGTAACAAAATGTAAATCTGAATAATGTCGCATGTATTAACCAAAGGCTAGCTTGATAGAAACAGAATCCAGAGAAGATATGCAAACTAGTTGTTGTTAAAGATAAAGAAAAGCTAATAAATAGTAAGTGGGAGTTCATTGGTAAAACAACATTGGGATTCAACTAGTTCGTGGACATAAGAAATTTGTACAAAATCAAAAGACACAACACAATCATACACACCAGGGAAAGAATACTGTCAGGTGAAGAAACAAAGCAAAAGAACACAAAACAAAACAAAAGAGTTCAGAATCAAAACAGATTGCAAGAAAGATGAGAGACAGAAAGAATGGGCCAAGAATCATACAAAGTACACTAATACTCCAAAACCTGTCAGAGAAAGAAAAAAACACTCAAAGATCCACAAGTACTTTGTCTTTGTGGAGTATATTTAGTGTTGAATTAAACAACTCAAATATGGAAACCCAAAAAAAAAAAAAGCCAAATAAAGCAAGTTGACAAATCTTTCATAACATGAAAAGGCAAAAAAAAATGAAATTGAGACGAAAAAACAAACTAGTAAGATCTACATCGTTATCTTGCTCTTATGTTCTTAACTCAGTGACCAGAAAAGTTTATGTTCTTTACCTTTAATTCTTCATTAGGGTTCAAAGGTTTATCACCACTACTAGTAATCAAAAATAGCTCAAGAAATCAAATCGTCACTAGAAAAAGACACAAGTTGAAATTTTAAGCTAAAGAAAAGTATAACTAGCTACTATAAAGTCAAAAATGCACAATCTTCTTCGATGTGAGCTCTTATGGTGAGAGGAAACGCTGATTAAAACAGAACACAGATCGATTCACAGAGACATCGAAGCTAGATCTAGCCCGAGATCTAAAAAAACCCACAAATCGAAAACTAAAAACGCATTGTTTACGAAACACCAAACGTAAAGAATCAAACATAGAGATATAGAGAGAGAGAGAGATAAACATAACTCAAACGTTAAAGTTAGAAAAAAAAAAAAGAACAAACCTTGTCTGTATCAATATCGGGACGACGTTTCAAAGCATCTCCGCCGTGAAGATGCGGCGGTGGCTGTGGAGCTAGAGACGGAGGCTGAGACCCCAATGGTATTGAAGTCATGTGCTTTACAGCTTTCTCTCTCTCTCTCTCCCACACTCAAAGAGTAAAGACTATTCTTTTTCCTTCTCTCTCTCTCACCTGTGTTGTTGTTGTGTCTAAACTTGAGAAATCGTTCAAAGATCAAAAGAGAATCCACGCGCAAATACAGCGCGTGAATATTACGAACCAATGAGAACGCTTATCTGTTAATTAAGTACTCTCTCATTATTTAAGTGAACATGATAAACCCGTAACCCCCATAACGCAAAACTAATCTTGTGGATGTTAAGTAATTAAACATGTTAACACAATCAGATAATAAAACAATATAGTGCCTTGTTATAACATGTTTTTATTAATTTGGGTAACAACTAACTCTACTTTTTTTCCTCTTTTTGATTAAATGTTATTTGGTGTTATTATTGATACAGATGATTTGTATCCGTTTTTTTTTGTTTCCTTTAAAACAAAAAATTAGTATATTCATTCATTGGTCAGTCTCTGACTATTCATGGAACCTCTTTTAAAGTAAAGTCGTATTCTATTTTAGACGTTTATTAAAAGTTTCGTCCAATCAAAATAGTCCTTCCTACACTTGTTTCCAAGTGAACATTTTGAGAATACTATCATCTTTTACGGTCAACTCGATTTAATCACGGTCATGGAAGTAGATGAAGATGTTAATCTACTACTCTCTAGAAGATTTTAGCTAGTTATAACATCATGATTTGGTGACAAATTTTTCATTAAGATCCAATAAGTTGTATAGTTCATTTTCTTGATATTTTAAAAGAAATCGATGCAAATTACTTATACGTACGGCCATGTAGCTATCAGGGAGAAGGTGGCTGCAACCGTCCAACATCCCCCAAGCTAAACGCATGCCACCAGTTCGGTCGTTGCTCATAAAGCTTCTTGTTATATTCTCTTTTATGTATATTTTGGTTAAGTTTGGGTGAGAAAGTATATGCTTTTCGATAACTCTTTGAATGGAAAAATATTTGCTAACGTTACGTATATGTTTACGTAAGAATACGATATAAATTTACAAGTTTATTTTATGTTCTAAGTTCAAAAGGAAAACTAAGTTTGGTTTGTATGGAGCCACAGAGATGGCTACATTTTTTTTTTAACGTTTTCAAAACATTTGGTCCAATTTGAAGGATGTTTAAAAGTCTTAGGATAAGGCTTTGTCTTTGTACTAACCACATGGACTATCGTAATCCATTTATTAGACTTCATTGTTTAATTAATAACTCGTTCTTTTGGATTCCAACCTTTGAACCTTCTTAAAATTTGAACTTTGTAGTTTACAAAAGAACTTGTATATTCCAGCTTCTGAATTTGACTTGATATATCTTATGTATATATATGGATTTGACTTTTTGTTTACTAAACCATTCATCGTTGAAGGTTGATAAATTTGTCAGATTAGCAGCATGCATATTCTATACGTAACCTGGAGTATATATCCAAATCCAAATGGTTGCCAAAATAGATCAAGTCGCAATCTGTGAAGACCTAAGGTCGGTCACATACTCACATTGGTCGGAAAGAGGTCCAGCTTTAATTTTATAGAATGTGTAACAGCATCATACATCAAAATATTTGGCTTTCTACAAAAATACTACTGAACAAATAACATTAAACAATGTTAAAATATTTGACTATATTTTAAGATTTTTCTTTTTCATATACTTATATAATAACATGATACGGTGACAAATTATTCACGAACATGATTATGCATGATAATAATAGGACAATATTGCAAAAATAAGATAAGATAGTGGTCATATTTTAGCATAATAAGATTATGATCGTCCTTAATTAGGTGTGACTAGAAGATGTGATAAATCTTAGAACGTTCCGAGAAAAGTACCCAAAGAGATATCTAGCAACAACCACAACCTCCTCCACTGCCACCACCACCACCGTAACGACACCAGCCGCAACAGCAACCTGAATCCTTCTTATCTTCCTTCTTCTTGGAGCAAGCAAAAACCGCCATGGTTACAAGTGATAAAGACAGAAGAAACATGAAGAACAAGATCAAAACATCCCCAAAAGCCTTAGCTCCTTGCATGTCAAACTAACTGATGAAGCTCTCTAACTTTTTTTTTTTTTAACTTTCTCTAGACTTTGTTTGAGTATTTAATTTACATTTGATCTTCCATGCCAGTGCCACTATAAAGAGATGAAATTTGAATATTTTCACACAAATATTGTCTCAATTATTCATCTAGTGTCTAATTAAGTCAATGTATCCCAATTCAAATTCTGCAGTTTTCAAGTTTCCTTTCTAGTGCAGTTGCAGTAGTGCTCTCTCTATATACAATATTAAAAACAAATTACAAAAGAACAAAACAAAGTCTACTACTAGTAGAGAGAATAAAGAAAGCAGTGTCACGTGGAATTATGGAGTATTATTGCCATAAAATCTCTGTTAACATGAGCTGTACATCACTTCGACAAGAAACCCCCCAACAAGTAGTGACAGACAATTATATTTCCAAAGCTTTTCTCTTTATCATGCAACCTTTTGATTTAGATTTACACAAATATTTCAAGAAAAAAAAAAAAAAAAAAAACTTTATTGACCATCCCCTTTCTTTATTGTTGAGATTTACATGTAATTTGATTTGAAAAATTTACAGTTTCTTCATTACCTCCAGTGAGAATGTATTTTGGCCTTTGCTATGCCTCTGGTATAGTGTTGAGTGTTTCCTGGAAGAACAAAACATGTTTGATAAGTATTAGCTTCGAAAATTTAGACATATTTGTGAAAGTGAAGGGTTAAGTTTCTTGTTTTGTTTACCTTGGAGAAACACACAAACCCTTGTTGTGTATTGGACGTTTTGACCATAGTTTCCCACTTTGGATTCGTTTGAACCTTGGTGAAGTGATCATCATCGCCAAGAGACTGTAACCATGCGAACGAGTTGGTCTTCGGCGGGATTGTTGGTAATGTACGCTTTAGCCAAGAATCTGAAGGAGCTTTTGGTAACGGTGGTGGAGGAACAATGTGATAAGATGACCGATGATGAAGCCTTGAATTTGTTGTGATTCCCTGCAGCTGGTTTTCAAGATCAATCTTCTCCTTTGTAATCTCTACCACATTGGATTCTGGCAGTGCAACAATAGCTTGATCAAGACATTCTTCAACTTTTTGACTTGAGAATTTAGTGAAATCCTCATCTTTGTCATCATTCATTTCCTCTGTGCTTTTAGGCTGTGTGATAACAGCTTTTTCATCTACTTCAATCAAGTTCTGAACATCTTTAACAGGAACAATGTCTAGTGAAGGATACTCTTTTGGTAAAGATTGCTTCTTGGTCTCTTCTTGTACTTTCTTAGAAACGGAATGCACAGTGTCTACATACAGAGTTTTCTCTGCCACAGGAGTCTCGGATGAAGGTTCCCATGTATTATCATCACTAGCCAAGAGCTCACCAAAGTTTTTGCTAACTTTAGCGCGTGAAGCGGTGTCAAAGTTCTCAGGTTTTTCCTTTCCTTGTGGAATAGAAGATACTGAGAATGTCTCTCCTTGAGAAGGCACTTGTACAACTGATCCATTTAGCTTCAACTTTCTCTTATCTTCATTGATTTGCTGTGGACAAAAAGAGATAGAAGTTTGATCAGAAGAAAATCTCTCAATAGGATGATGAATAAGGCTGCAAGAAGGAGAAAGAATTAGTTACCTTGTTCTGACTTTCATTAGAAGGTGCAGGATCTTGATACTTAGAACGCATACGACGAACAGAAACAGCCTTTTGTGCCTGCATTCTTACTGATGGAATCGGATTCAACAGTCCTAAAGAGCTTCTCAAGCAGAGTTGAGGGACTAATCCACATACACCAGAAGCCATGCTGCTTGTATTTTCATCTTCCTCCTCTTCTTGATCAACCGAATGATGGAATCGATATGGATTTTGCTCAACTTTGTTCTGTTTCTCCTTCACCAGTACTGCCTTCTTCATCAACTGTTTGGCCGGTTCTTCTGGTTTAGGCGGTTTTCTAGCAAGATGTGGAGGTGTTTCTGAAGTCAAGGCTTTAGCTGCAGGCAAGAATCTCCCCATCATTAGATCCTGAGTTTGTCTATCACTGGATAGAGTACCAAATGGCTCAACTAGAATCCCTGAACCATCCAAACCACTCACACCACTAACATTACTACAGTTGTAGAAGAATGACTCAGATCTTGAAAGTGTATCAGTTGCATCAAGATAGGTACCATCACTATCATAATCATCATACCGAGAACTATAACTCTTTGCATCCTCCACATGATATTTATCCGAAGATGATGATGATGATGATACATTATTACTAGCAGCTTTGGTCTGGTGATCAGCTCTAGTTTCAGGTTTCGTCCCTAACTCTATTCGCTTTCTACCAGGAGGAAGCTTTGGCACAAAATGTGGCTCCACAGTACTTAGTAAAACCGGTTTGCTTTCGTCTTTAGGCTTTCCGGGCATATGTTCCCATTGGAAAGGAACAGTTCCTGGAATTCTCACAGGACCTGACTTAATATCAGACTTGTAAACAGGTAGAGAAGGAAGAACCTTGTTGGTTACTGAATCATAAGATCTTGTTTTGCTCTCAGATTCTGAAGTTTGTGCAGGACGTCTAACTGATATAAGCGGGCGGTTGAAATCTAATTGCTTCTCTTCCATCATCAAGCTCCCCATTAACATGAAAATCCCCTTGCTTCTGCATAATCAAAAACATATCAATAGAAGACTTGTAATAACTTCAAACAAAATGTAATTTGCACAATAAATAGCTTTTTTCTTGCTTTTCAAGAACCATCAAGTTCAAAATTCAAAAACTCAACAAGTGAGATAGTCGTGATGGAGAATTTTTTTCGCAGCTTCTTGAAAACTTTTATCAAGATTTGATCTTTCTTCGTTAATATGAAAACCCAACAAGAGTATGAAGCAAACAAATACATACTCAAAAGTATAAGCGTGAACCCATTGTTTATGAGTCCAAAACCAATTAGAGAAATTAGCAAAAAAACAAAGAAAAATAGTTGATCTTTTGTTTCTTCTTTTTCCAATCTAAATCTAAATACACAGGTATACGCAGATACTTGTCGTGTACAAGAACCAGAATCAGAAGAACAGAGAGGGTGTGAGAAAAGAGCTCAAGATTAGAAGAAAACAGAGTACAAATAGCACTGCAGCAAGAAGAAGACGAAACAGATCTTTTTTGTTTATACACACATATATAAAGATACATATAGAGAGAGGTGAGAAAGTGAAAATACCAGTGAGAAAACGCGGGATTGAAGACAGAGAGAGAGAGAGAGAGAGAGAGAGAGAGAGAGAGAGAGAGAGAGAGAGAGAGAGAGAGAGAGAGAGAGAAGAAAGAAAGAAGAAGAGTAATGAAGAGAGGAGGTGAAACGAATATATGAGGTTGTCATATTCTTCCTACTTCTTTCTTTAGGCTGCGTCACTTTGATTTGTCAGTTTCTTTGAATTATACTTTTTTTTTTTTTTGTTAATAAATAAGTTTGCAGGATAATTGTTATATACATAATTGCATGTTGATTAATTTAGTAATGCTTAAAATGGAGTTTTCTTTTTTTTGTTCACACTAGTTGTTACATTTTTCTTTATTGCTGTCTCTATCAACATGAATTTTTTTTTGGTTACGTCAATATCATGTGCTTGGTATAATAATTAATAGGGAGAATTTAGTAGGCATGCAAATACATTATACAATAAATGTTTGTTTGTTTGTTTTGTTCATCGAGTAAATGATTATACAGATCGTTGTATGCTAATTAGTTGGAGAGATTTTCTATAATTAAGTATGGATAGTTGGGGAGTAAACAATGTATTAAAAGGATAACTACCACATGGTGTCTCTTTGAACTTTATAAATGATACAAGATTGGAGGATAAGTATATATACTAATCTCTAAAGGTAAGGTATTGGCAAACGAGATCTATACAATTCTTAACATTTGTTTTCAAAAAAAAAGTAAATGATATATATATATATATGTCGAATAAGATATTTCTATGTATTAAAAAGAAAATAATAGTTTTCAGAAAAATATATTGCATATATTGTTAAACACACATGTTCAAAATGAAGATATATCCAACAATTCGTAAATCAAATGTGGAAAAGTATATATATGGGAACAAATCCAATATACTATAAAACAAATAGCAAAAATGTATATTAGTGGGGAACAAAAAAAAAACGAAGAATAAATCTGATGCTAGCTAGATTGTCAGAAAATATATATATATATATATATAAAGAAAATGGAGAGAGTAGTGAGCAAAACAAGAAAGAAAGGAACCTTATTACAACATTTGGAGTGAAGATAATCATACGTTACTTGTTATTTTTGTACAACTAAATCATACGTTTACTTTACACTTGTTCGTTTTGGAAAAGACGATCGAGTCCAAGGTTCTGCAAAAAAGTTATCACCAAAGATCCTCCATTCATCTCTACAAGTTTTTGTTCTAGTAAATGATCATGGCTTTTTTTGTATAAATATAAACATTGCAAAAGACACGAGGCCTCGAGGGGTACGTAGTTAATAGAGTCATCCAAGATCTGAATTCTTGCATCAGTGAATCATGTGAGTGGGGGTGGTAGTCTGGTAGGTCATCACTCGTCGTCGGTTACTTTTTACATTTTTTTTTGTATTTTTGGTATTTATTGACGTGCGTAACCAATCCGTGATGCAGTGAAGTTACACTTTTATTCAAGAAAAAAACATACTTCCATTATACTAATTAAAATTACTCAGGTTTCGAATATGACCGACGTATCTGGTCTGGTGGTCCACTTACACTTATCACAGCAAAAGTTTCTTTCGTAGTCCCGAGCCTTTATATTAAACTATCTATCTGGAATGTTTTTTTTCCTTCTTTTTCAATTATATAAATAACTCAAATTCTGAATCTTGATAGTTAAATCAGAAATTGTTATAAGATGTTGTTACCGTTTTAACCAACGAAATTGTTAAATATGTGCAAAATGGCAATGTCTGTATATATATATATATATATATATATATATACAGACCGACGAAATACTAATCAGTGTAAACTGTTTTTAACATGCTAATTTATACTTTTTATAACCTCTTCTACTACTATTACTAGAAAATGTACTCTAGTAACACTATAGTAGTGACATCATATATCATAACTTGACTTCATAAAATCTATTTGTCAATATAGTTTATGGTTGTGGACTGTATAAAAAATATAGCAGAGAGTACTTGAACCCTATCATTAGTGTAGAGTTAGTAAATTGGCTGAAGCATCCACGGATAAGCAAGCAATTAATATACACATAGAAATAAATGAGATAAAGACAATAATAATATATACACGTCACGTTTCACTTTCTTATCTCTTGAATCTCTTCTTCTTCTCATTTTGTTTCTTGTATGATTTTTTCAGTGAAACACTATTATGTAGTTTGACTTTGAGCAGGTGATCTGGAAAACGAATAAATTATTAACATTTTTTTGGATATAAAATAATATAATACAACCATGTTGCTTTATTTTGTAGTTTTATATATTTGTATTACAGGATAAGTAGTCCCAACCAAATTCAAATAAAATGTTCTGCTACACACGGTTTTTACATGTTTGAAATAGTGATAGATCGAATAGTATTGTTTACACAGTAAATCACCAAAGGTCATATATAATTAGGAATGTTACACGCTAGCACCCTTTTGGTGAGTTCTCTTTCACTTTAACACCCTTCTATGTTTATGCATCGTTTTTTAGGTGCTTTTGTACTGTGCTAACAATAAAAAGACATGATTGCCTTTTGTTCTAAAACATAGTGGAAAGAAAGTGTAACCATAGTGTAACCAACATGGTTACAAGTCACGAAATATTGGCCATAGGATTGTAAAAAAAAAGTAAAAGATCGTGTGGTCCAAAAAAAGTGTGTTTTTTTTCTGCTAGGTTAAAAAGTAGTTTTTGGGGATAATATCCAGAAGAAGAGAGTTTGGTCAATTGGTTGGAAAACAGCCGACATTTTTTCAAAGGTTTTATGTGGATACAAATTGGTTCGTGAATTGTATAAGCTAACAAAATTTCTTGAATTTTTGTGGTAGGTTAGGATCGATGGACAGTGCACTGTTCTTTGGGGGAGTGGGGTTGTTATGTGAATGGGATATGGAGGTTCGAAGTGGACACGTTTCTGGTTTCGCGGGCGGTGCCCATGTCGGAGACGATGGTGCTGCAAGACCTTGAGGATGCTGCAAGTACGAAGTACACAACAAGGGAGAGGACTTCGCCGGTTTTGTTGAGAAGCGAAACTAGTTTCGGCTACTTTAAGAAATAATTCCGACTCAACATATGTTTGAATATGTTTGTGAGGTTCGAAGATTTTAGGAAACGAGGAATTGAATCAAGGACAGATGGACACCCTTTGATGGATTTTCTTGCGGTAAGCGATGTAGTGTGTTCTTCGTCTGGATTCAAATTGGGAAGTGGAGAGGAAGACATTGACCTTCGTTGAAACACTAACTTGTTTCAAGCACACCAAGAAGTCGTGAAACACTAACTTGTTTTCAAGCTACGAGTGTTTTTAGTATTTACTTTATTTTAGAGAAAAAGTGTTGATTCATTCATGTTTTTTACATTTCATCTTGTGAAGATTTTGCGATGGTGCACAAGATGAATTAAGGTAACTTTGCAAGATATTGTTTTGAAATGTGAACATTACAGAGACAAAAGCAACATATGGAGAAAGGTTTAACCATTTTTGCTGACCATATGGTCATTATCTCGTGGACACCAACTTCGAAAATTTCTATTGTTTTTTTTTTTTTGGTATGACCAAAAGAAAAAATTTATTTATAGATCATAATCCATATGAATTGGTTTAGTAGTTAATGTAAAAATCATTTTTCATGTAAAAAACAGACATATCCATTTGATATTGTCCACATATACTTAACTAGCTATTCTCTTGAGAAAATGTAGAGGTTAGAGTTACTTCATAAAAATGTATAGAGTTACTTCATAAAAATGTATAGAGTTACTTGATAAGAGTACACAGACATGTTACAATTATACCATAATCCACATTTGTTTTTTTTCACAAAAATCACCATAAACCAAACAAATTTGTTTGTAAAATAGTTTGTTACAAAGATGCATTGTCAACCACATGACCACATCCATAATATTAGATCCATAAAAAAAACGCATTCATAAATAATGCATCCATAATACTGCATCCACATAAGCAATTTAACATATGGATACTACGTCACTCCTTTATTCATACCACTTTAGCTATATGTTTGGTTTAAATACATGATTACCATATTTCTAAGACATTTTACATGTATAAAAACATTTTACAAACAAAAATCATACGGCTAGAAGAATCCATTACTCCATGAATACAAAACCATTATACAACAATTATGTTACTTTATATGTAAAAAGTGTCCACAAGAACACATCCAGAAAATAATATCCACACAAGCACCAGATACCGTATACCAAAAAATCGAATCCAAAAACAGTGAAATTGGGGACGATTCGTGATGCAGGACTTGGCAAGAAAGAGTGAGCAGTTGCGAGCGATACAAGAACGAACAGATATGAGGAGTAATTTGACAAGATGAGGCATGCTAGTTGCAAGTGTGCACCACATGTCAAACGACGGAGGCGAGTGTGCATCGGTTGGGAGTGTGGAGAGAGAGGCAAAGCTAACTACAACAC